TAATGTTTGTTTATTGAAACCATTTTCCCTTCAGCTAATGTCAGTTTATTGAAACCATTTTCCCTTCAGCTAATGTTTGTTTATTGAAACCATTTTCCCTTCAGCTAATGTTTGTTTATTGAAACCATTTTTCCTTCAGCTAATGTTTGTTTATTGAAACCATTTTACCTTCTGTAATAGATTGAGTTAATTGTGAGGTCAAGGGAACTCACTCTCTGTATTAGTATTATATTTATATTGTTATCTTGAGTGATGTCCCTTACATGTTGTTATCTATAAATAGTTCTCTCTCGCCACTTCCGTTCTCTTTCCGGTTAACAAATAAAGCTGTTTACATGCTCATGGCTTCTGTCTCCGTTGTATTCATAATCTACCTCATTTGGCGACGAAGGATAAACATCTACTAGAAAGAGCACCTACTTACGCAAAAAAGAGGTTTGCTAGAGCTTATTAGCTAATTATTTCTAGAATTATGGCGCTGTATGGCCAAATAAAAGAATTTGATGCGAATGATGAAATCATTCAAGATTACCTAGAGAGGTTAAGCTTTTACCTAGAAGCAAACAACGTGACGATAGAAGCCAAAAAGAGAGCTGTTTTGTTAACAGTCATAGGGCCTCAACAATTTAGGCTACTAAAAGACTTATGCGCACCAGCTAGTCTAACTACCAAGAGCTTTAACGAGCTGAGCAAATTGCTAACAGACCACCATGCGCCTACCCCATCAAAGTTTTTATGTAGAGCTAGATTTGACAGTAGGACTCGTCAACCAAACGAGTCAATATCAGAATATGTTGCTGCTTTACGTCATTTAAGTAAATTTTGTGAATTCGGCGATACGCCGTCTGACAGACTATGTGAAAAGTTTGTGACAGGTGTAAACAGCCCTGATATTCAAAGAAAGTTGCTGCTCGAGTCAGATCTAAAATTGGAAAAAGCAATACAACTTGCAATGTCATTCCAGCAGTCATCAGATGCGGCGAGATCTTTAGCACCTTCAGAGATCCATGCAGTAAACAGCAGGTTAGTCAATAAACATCAACCCCATCAGAGCATTCCAACTTATGCTAAACAGCCTGCTCGTTCAAATCCTAGATCTAAATCTAGTAATAATTATCAAAAATGTCATCGATGCAAAGGTCCCCATGCATCTCATCGGTGCAAGTTCAAGTCTGCAACTTGTTATAAGTGCAGTAAGCAAGGTCACATTGCCAAGGCCTGCTTTGCAAAGTCTTCGTCTGTTGCTAAATCTAGCCAGTCAAGACAGTACCGCAACCAAAGGCAGCACTATGTTAACTCTCACCAAGACTACCTAACCCAACCAATGAACCACTCTACCTGTGAAAATGCTCAAACTGATTCGCAGCCGGATTTCAACCTGTTCTCTGTGAAATCAATAAGTCATGCTCCCATCAATGTACCAGTTAATATCAACGGTAAGAGCATCAGCTTCCAACTTGACACTGGAGCATCTCTAACAGTCATCACAAAGAAAGATTTTGACGCTGTCACAGGAGGATCAGTGTCTCTACAGCCGTGTCACAAGTGTCTAACAACATACACTGGTGACAATGTTCCGGTAATAGGAGAGTGTATGGTTCATGTAAGTTATAATGGTCAAAGTGTTAAACTTCCTCTTCTTGTGGTTGAAGGAAATGGACCGCCATTACTAGGTAGGAACTGGTTAAGTGATCTTAAGTTAAATTGGGAGAGTATTTGTTCATTGAAGAATGTAAAAGAATCTAGTCTTACTTCACTAGATAAAGTTATATCTGAAAATAAATGTGTTTTTGGTAACTCAGGTTTACTAAATGATAGAACAGTGAAGTTAAGCATTAAAGATACAAATCCAAGATACTGCAAAGCTAGAGTTCCACCTTATGCAATGAGGAATAAAATTGAAAATGAGCTAAGTAGATTGGAATCCAATGGCATCATAAAGAAGGTAGACTATTCCGATTGGGCGACACCCATTGTGCCAGTGTTAAAGAAGGATGGTTCTATAAGAATTTGTGGAGACTACAAAACTACACTGAATAAGCAAATAGAGCTAAATAGGTACCCTATACCTAACATTGAGGAAATTTCTTTGAATTTGGCAGGAGGAGACAAATTCACTGAATTAGACTTTAGTCATGCTTACACTCAACTAGAACTGCATCCAGATTCAAAAGTCTATACGACAATAAACACACATAAAGGACTCTACCAATATGAAAGACTATGTTTTGGCATATCATCTAGCCCTGGAATTTTCCAAGCTGTCATGGACAGTATTTTTAAGGACATTCCAAATGTTTGTGTGTACTTTGACAATGTGTACATAACTGGTAAGAATGACACTGAACATCTTAAAACACTTGATAAAGTCTTGAAAATAGTTGGTGAAAAAGGTTTAAAGATAAACAAAGATAAATGTCAATTCATGCTGACAGAAATTAGTTTTCTTGGTTATATATTGAGCAAGCAAGGCATCAGACCTCAACCTGAGAAAACAAAAGCCATTAAAGAAGCACCCAAACCTGAAAATACCCAACAACTAAGAGCTTTTTTGGGCTTGATAAATTACTATGCAAAGTTCATAGGGAATCTGTCTGGTAAACTATCACCACTGTACAAGCTGCTACAGAAAAATGCAACTTGGCACTGGGGTAAACAACAAGAAGCTGCTTTTAACACAGCAAAAGAGGCTTTGTCTGCTGACACCTTACTAACTCACTATGACCCAGGGAAAAGACTTGTATTGACATGTGATGCTTCACCAGATGGTGTAGGAGCAGTCTTGTCCCACATGGATGAGAAGGGTGACAGACCCATTGCTTTTGCCAGTAGATCTTTGAATCAGGCTGAGAAAAATTATTCTCAGTTAGATAGGGAAGGTTTAGGCATCATTTTTGGTGTTAAGAAATTTCATAAGTTTCTGTTTGGTAGGAAGTTCACCATCTTTACAGATCATAAACCATTGCTAGGTTTATTTGGAGAAAACAAAACCCTACCCGAGCATGCCTCACCAAGAATTCAAAGATGGGCTATCACACTAACTGCATACAATTATGAATTGAAATACAAACCTGGATCTGAGAATAGTGCAGATAGTCTTAGTAGATTACCTTTAGAAAACCAAAGCCTGAGCTATGTACCAGAAGATGTATTTGTTCTCTTCACTATCATGGATAACTCCAATATAGATGTGAATGATATTAAAAGAGAAACACAAAAAGATGAGTGCTTAATAAAAGTATCTGATTACTGTAAGAATGGTTGGCCTGAAGAGTCTGTGAATGATGACTTAAGGCCATATTAAATAAGAAATAAAAACCTTTGTGAAGATAATATAAAAGATGGAGAAGATGCAGTCCATTATCAGTCAGAGTTGCCTAAACAAAGTATTTGTAACTTAATAAATGATTATGGTGATATGGCAATTTCAAATACATTAGTAAGAAGGAATGTGATCATCAAACAACTTTGCTAACATCATTAGCACTTACAGAAACTAAAAGGGTAACATCAAAAGAAAAGAAAAAAGATTTTGCCATTTAATACACCCACTTCAAATACTGGATCACAGTTGCAAAGTGATATGGTCCAGAATATTACTTTAAACAGTATTTTTGGTTACCAGGAAAGCACTATCAGATTACCTGAGAAAATTGATCAATCAAAGAAATCTATGTCAATTAAGGATCTGAATAACAGCATAATACTTCCAGATGCCAATTCAAAAATAGTTCCATTAAATCATGACAAGACATTCATTGAAAGAGAATTTGGTGTTAATAAGAATGTGTATCTAAGAAATTATGGGAGAAAGGAAAAATGGATACCAGGTCAAATTGTTCAATGTACAGGACCTGTGTCTTATAAAGTAAAAACAAATGATAGACTTATTGTCCGTAGACATGCAGACCAGTTAAAAATAACTTGTGCAGACAATAAGTGTGAATCTATCAATCCCACCAAGTCTGATCAGTTCACACCAACTCAGTTTGTTCCACAACCAAGTTCTGTTGATATGAGTGAACCAAGTTGTCTGGAGTCAGAAAATGTAAATTCTGGAGTTAATGATTTAAATCCTAGACCTCCTGAGATAGAGAATCCAAATGGTCAGAATATTGAGTCACCAAATCAAAGGCCACTGAGAAGGTCAAACAGGACAATCAAAGTCCCAAATAAGTTAGACCTATGATTTTAAAGGTCAAAAGGACTTTGACATCATTGTTTTGTATTTTGATTATGTTGTAGCATATTGTGCATTGTTTGTAAGGATGTAATCTACCATAGTGTTCATGTTACAATATAATTGGTGATTTTAGGATACTATCAATTGTTCTATTGAGAGATGTGTTATTGTGTTCTAAGGGTAAAGGGATGTAATAGATTGAGTTAATTGTGAGGTCAAGGGAACTCACTCTCTGTATTAGTATTATATTTATATTGTTATCTTGAGTGATGTCCCTTACATGTTGTTATCTATAAATAGTTCTCTCTCGCCACTTCCGTTCTCTTTCCGGTTAACAAATAAAGCTGTTTACATGCTCATGGCTTCTGTCTCCGTTGTATTCATAATCTACCTCACCTTCAGCCAATGTTTGTTTATTGAAACCATTTTCCCTTCAGCTAATGTCAGTTTATTGAAACCATTTTCCCTTCAGCTAATGTTTGTTTATTGAAACCATTTTCCCTTCAGCTAATGTTTGTTTATTGAAACCATTTTCCCTTCAGCTAATGTTTGTTTATTGAAACCATTTTTCCTTCAGCTAATGTTTGTTTATTGAAACCATTTTACCTTCAGCCAATGTTTGTTTATTGAAACCATTTTACCTTCAGCTAATGTTTGTTTATTGAAACCATTTTCCCTCCAGCTGACAACCCAGCTGGCACGTACCGGGACCCCAGCAACAAAACAACATACCATCCCTGCACCATTGGCACCTACCAGGACCTGCCGTGGCAGGACGTTTGTATACCCTGTGAGAAAAACTTTACCACGGAGAAAAATGGTTCTCAGTTTGCCTTTGACTGCAGATGTAGGTTCACAGCATTTCTCTTTGTCTAGCTTTAAACTCCCACAGACTCTGACATGTTTTATTGGTACAGAATCAGCTATGTAGTGTAGAGAAAGCATTGTAATCGTGAGACCAAATTTGGACAGTTGTCACTGTTTAACACCTCCCTACCTTATAAAAGTTGTATTGTAATTGTGAAAAATCTTAATGGATATTTTTACAAATTTCTATAAGCATAAGGTGCCAGAATAACTTGTCCATCTGTGTGTGTGTGTGATAACTTGAGTAACATTTTCTGTGGGGAACAGAGGTTGCAGCCACACCTCTCCACTGGCAGCTCTCAGTGTATGCACCGAGGGTTAGGGGTGCACACTGGGTGCACCCACATAAGTCCGGCTGCCCTCGCCCCTTCTTCTACTGTTCTCCTCCAGGATTTCCTTGACCGGCCTTGACCGGATATTCAAGTCTAACACTTTCTTCTTCCTCTGGAGATTCAAGTCTAACACTTTCTTCTTCCTCTGGAGATTCAAGTCTAACACTTTCTTTGCGCTGATACTTCAAATATAAGTAAAAGATCTTACTTATACTTGGGTCAATTTCAATTTTTTTAGTGACTCCCAATATCCAGAAGTGGTACTTTATCTCAGGTTTCTAAAAATGCAATAATACCAAATAACTTGAGAACTGTTTCAGCTAGCTTAATAAAATTTCCTACTTAGGTATGTGATCTTATTCACTGTTGTATGTCAAATGTTAGGTGATTTTCTTTGACTAGAAATACTATTTTAAGCTATTTCCAATTTCGCATTAAGGCTCATCAATGTTTTCTTTAGAAAGAACTAATTTTCTGCTCTATTATACTCAACACTGCATTCATAAGGTGCGCAATTATTTTTTTCAGCACAATTTTATTCTGTTTAAAAATTTAAGTATGAAATTTTTAAAATAAAAAAGTTCTATAGTCCTGGAAGTGCCATATGCGAGAAAGTTTAGGGGAGATCACTCCCCTTTCCATTGTATTTAGTCTACTGCCTATGTAACCATGAAACTTTTGCTTCAGCTAATGTTTATGGCACTGTTTTTGTTTCCACAGTCTACTGTCCCGCAGGGCGTCAAAAGATTGATGGTAAAAATGACTGTGAACTTTGCCCTCAAAGTACTTACCGCGATGGCACCAAAGTCTTTGAGAAGTGTGACGGCTGTCCAGAGCAGAAAATTTCTCCAGCGCCAGGTGCTACATCAGTGGAAAACTGTACATTATGTAAGCTGACATTTTTCTTATGGTCCCCTGTGGTCAGCTGTCTAGTATAGTAGTAATGTAACTTGTATGTATTTTCATTTGGTCTACAGACCGGTGCAATGAAGGGGAGCAACCCAACAACTCAAGCAGCGGCTGCGAGCCCTGCCCTAGAGGGACCTACCAACCAGCCAGTGACCAGCCTAAATGTCTAGCCTGTCCCTCAGGCACCAGTACCCCCCACACAGGGGCAGTCACCAATATTTCTTGTCAAGGTCAGTTCAATCTCTCTGACTATACTAGTTTGACAAATATTAAAAAAAGTAAAGTTCACTTTTTGAACCCGATGGTCCATGGGGCAAGTGAAGTACAGTTCACTTGTTTTTGTGACCTTGAAATATGAAGGGATAATATGGTAGGCACTTTGCCCAGCCACCTTTACTTTCCTTAACATGAGTTAGGTACCCATCATAGCTGGGTAGACTCAATGACATTCTAATGACCTGAATCCGGATTCGAACATGAGACTTTTAGGTTAGCAGCCTAGCAATCTGCTGCTAGGCAACACCAACCTATTGACTAGTAGCCTATATACAACTATTCAAATAAAAAACTTGACTGTTTACATTTTTTCCACTTTCAGTCTACTGTCCATCAGGGTCAGAAAAAAATGGACAGGGCCAGTGTGTTGAGTGCTACATTGGCTACTATAAGGACAACACAATCGATGTCTTTAGCAACTGTACTCGCTGCTCTAATCAGTCTTATGTCACTTCTGGAAATGCTTCCATTTCCAACCAAAACTGTACCGTTTGTAAGTAGCAGATTTGTCACAAAATGTACCATATGTAAGTAGCAGATTTGTCACAAGTAGCAGATTTGTCACAAGTAGCTACTTTCTCAAATTTATCATCTTCATGGTAGCATTACAGAAAATTTTTTTATCCACATCTACTACATACTATATATTGTAGCTCTGTCCATATCTACTACATACAAAATACTGTAGTTCTGCCCATATATACTACATACAATATATTGTAGCTCTATTCACATAATTTTCCTCCTATGTGTGTCATTTCCTCATTTATTTTTTCCTGTTCTGCTCTTATGTAACTTGAACGTACCCTCAAAAGCTGGGTCTCGCTGGGTGTGTGTGTGTGTTGGTGCAACTGGTTTTATTATGCTGGGTCTCACTGGGTGTGTGTGTGTGTTGGTGCAACTGGTTTTATTATGCTGGGTCTCACTGGGTGTGTGTGTGTGTTGGTGTAACTGGTTTTATTATGCTGGGTCTCACTGGGTGTGTGTGTGTTGGTGCAACTGGTTTTATTATGCTGGGTCTCACTGGGTGTGTGTGTGTGTTGGTGCAACTGGTTTTATTATGCTGGGTCTCACTGGGTGGGTGTGTGTGTGTGTTGGTGCAACTGGTTTTATTATGCTGGGTCTCACTGGGTGTGTGTGTGTGTTGGTGCAACTGGTTTTATTATGCTGGGTCTCACTGGGTGTGTGTGTGTGTGTTGGTGCAACTGGTTTTATTATGCTGGGTCTCACTGGGTGTGTGTGTGTGTTGGTGCAACTGGTTTTATTATGCTGGGTCTCACTGGGTGTGTGTGTGTGTTGGTGCAACTGGTTTTATTATGCTGGGTCTCACTGTGTGTGTGTGTGTGTGTTGGTGCAACTGGTTTTATTATGCTGGGTCTCACTGGGTGTGTGTGTGTGTTGGTGCAACTGGTTTTATTATGCTGGGTCTCACTGGGTGTGTGTGTGTGTTGGTGCAACTGGTTTTATTATGCTGGGTCTCACTGGGTGTGTGTGTGTGTTGGTGCAACTGGTTTTATTATGCTGGGTCTCACTGGGTGTGTGTGTGTGTTGGTGCAACTGGTTTTATTATGCTGGGTCTCACTGGGTGTGTGTGTGTGTGTTGGTGCAACTGGTTTTATTATGCTGGGTCTCACTGGGTGTGTGTGTGTGTGTTGGTGTTACTGGTTTTATTATGCTGGGTCTCACTGGGTGTGTGTGTGTGTTGGTGCAACTGGTTTTATTATGCTGGGTCTCACTGGGTGTGTGTGTGTGTTGGTGCAACTGGTTTTATTATGCTGGGTCTCACTGGGTATGTGTGTGTGTGCATGTTGGTGCAACTGGTTTTATTATGCTGGGTCTCACTGGGTGTGTGTGTGTGTTGGTGTTACTGGTTTTATTATGCTGGGTCTCACTGGGTGTGTGTGTGTGTTGGTGCAACTGGTTTTATTATGCTGGGTCTCACTGGGTGTGTGTGTGTGTTGGTGCAACTGGTTTTATTATGCTGGGTCTCACTGGGTGTGTGTGTGTGTTGGTGCAACTGGTTTTATTATGCTGGGTCTCACTGGGTGTGTGTGTGTGTTGGTGCAACTGGTTTTATTATGCTGGGTCTCACTGGGTGTGTGTGTGTGTTGGTGCAACTGGTTTTATTATGCTGGGTCTCACTGGGTGTGTGTGTGTGTGCATGTTGGTGCAACTGGTTTTATTATGCTGGGTCTCACTGGGTGTGTGTGTGTGTTGGTGCAACTGGTTTTATTATGCTGGGTCTCACTGGGTGTGTGTGTGTGTTGGTGCAACTGGTTTTATTATGCTGGGTCTCACTTGGTGTGTGTGTGTGTTGGTGCAACTGGTTTTATTATGCTGGGTCTCACTGGGTGTGTGTGTGTGTGCATGTTGGTGCAACTGGTTTTATCATGGCTTGCTCTGGTAGCTCAGTGTCCACTAATGATGCTGTCAACTTTCAGTGAACTGTCTTGAAGGCTATAAATCCAACTACACCAGCCACAGTTGTGTCCCCTGTCCCAAGGGAACTTACCAAGATAAAAAGTACCAAAATAGCTGCATTGAATGCCCTTTAAATCACTCAACCAGGTTCACAAATTCAACCAAATTTTCTGATTGTGAAAGTAAGTCTGTTGTTTCAGCTTGCATTTTATTTTGTGATGTGTTTATGTTGCCAATATACCTTTGTGATGTGATGATGTTGCCAATGTACCTTTGTGATGTGATGATGTTGCCAATGTACCTTTGTGATGTGATGATGTTGCCAATGTACCTTTGTGATGTGACTATGTTGCCAATGTACCTTTGTGATGTGTTTATGTTGCCAATATACCTTCGTGATGTGATAATGTTGCCAATGTACCTTTGTGATGTGTTTATGTTGCCAATGTACCTTTGTGATGTGATGATGTTGCCAATGTGCTTTAAATGGTTTCACATCTGAGAGACTTGCATGAGCGCCTAATGACAAGGTAACTACAGTGTTGATATCTTGTATCCACTTGACCTTGAGAAATTAAATGTGACATGCCAGTGTGTACATCTTGTATCCACTTGACCTTGAGAAATTAAATGTGACATGCCAGTGTGTACATCTTGTATCCACTTGACCTTGAGAAACTAAATGTGACATGCCAATGTGTACATCTTGTATCCACTTGACCTTGAGAAATTAAATGTGACATGCCAATGTGTACATCTTGTATCCACTTGACCTTGAGAAATTAAATGTGACATGCCAGTGTGTACATCTTGTATCCACTTGACCTTGAGAAATTAAATGTGACATGCCAGTGTGTACATCTTTTATCCATTTGACCTTGAGAAACTAAATGTGACATGCCAATGTGTACATCTTGTATCCACTTGACCTTGAGAAATTAAATGTGACATGCCAATGTGTACATCTTGTATCCACTTGACCTTGAGAAATTAAATGTGACATGCCAGTGTGTACATCTTTTATCCATTTGACCTTGAGAAACTAAATGTGACATGCCAATGTGTACATCTTGTATCCACTTGACCTTGAGAAATTAAATGTGACATGCCAATGTGTACATCTTGTATCCACTTGACCTTGAGAAATTAAATGACATGCCAGTGTGTACATCTTTTATCCATTTGACCTTGAGAAACTAAATGTGACATGCCAGTGTGTACATCTTTTATCCGTTTGACCTTGAGAAACTAAATGTGACATGCCAGTGTATACATCTTTTATCCACTTGACCTTGAGAAACTAAATGTGACATGCCAGTGTGTACATCTTTTATCCATCTGCCCATATTTTGATGTTTGTGTCAGCCTACTGCCCATCTGGCCAGGAGAAAGTAAATGGAACATGTGTGCCGTGTCAACAAGGCCTCTACAAGGACAATGACCAGGATCTCTTCATGTCATGTGACCTGTGTCCCCCAGAGTTGATTACACCATCTACAGCCTCCACCTCCAAACAGAACTGTACACTTGGTTAGTCCAAATATTTGATTACCTTTTGTCCCAATATTTGATTACCTTTTGTACCAATATTTGATTACCTTTTGTCCCAATATTTGATTACCTTTTGTCCAAATATTTGATTACCTTTTGTCCCAATATTTGATTACCTTTTGTCCCAATATTTGATTACCTTTTGTCCCAATATTTGATTACCTTTTGTCCCAATATTTGATTACCTAAAACCTACAGGGCTGGTTAGTTGATTTGTGGCTTCCTTATCATCTGTCAAAGATGGATGGTGGTAGTAAATCTAGTAAGACTTTTTAAAGATGTCTATTTTGGAGGTTGACTGATTCACATTTCTAGGAGGTGTAGCAGACAAAGTTAGGGGACCAGAACCTGGATGTCTACCAAAATATGACTGTCTGTTGAACTAATAGCAAGAAACTTCAGACTTTTATCATCAGACACCTCCCTCAGGATGCCGAACTATGGAGAAAAACTGGACAAGACCCTCGTGACAAAACAAAAGTACAAATGGGGTTTGGGCTGGACACACCTTGTGTAAACCAACAAGCAACATCACTAGACATGCAGTCAATCCTTAAGGAAAGAGAAAGTCAGTAGACCAAAACAAACTTGGGGAAGGTCAGATGTGGTAGAAGCAGCCTGAATGACGTGGGCCCAACTTGGAGGAAACGCCCAGATCAGAGTACGGTGGAGAGGTGTGGTTGTGTCCCTTTGCTCCACAAGGGGTCCAGAAGAATTGTGTTGATGATGTTTACCTGACTTATGACACACAACAACACTAAGCCAGGTCCCCCAATTCTCCCTCCAACAAAGTCATATCACAAAGTTCAAGCCTTCAACAAAGTCATATCACAAAGTTCAAGCCTTCAACAAAGTCATATCACAGAGTTCAAGCCTTCAACAAAGTCATATCACAAAGTTCAAGCCTTCAACAAAGTCATATCACAAAGTTCAAGCCTTCAACAAAGTCATATCACAAAGTTCAAGCCTTCAACAAAGTCATATCACAAAGTTCAAGCCCTGTTCTATCAATGTATTCCCCAGGTAACTGTTCAGCTGGCTACTACATCAATGGAACTGGCTGCTCACCTTGTCCCAAAGGCCAATACCAGGAGCTGCGCTGGCAATATAACTGTAGCCAGTGTCCCCCCAACAGAGACACAGAATCTATAGCAGCCAGTAGCCTGAGTCATTGTTTACGTGAGTCTATCCTCGAACTCTCACTAAGTCCATCCTTGAACTCTCGCTAAGGCCATCCTTGAACTCTCACTAAGTCCATCCTTGAATTCTCACTAAGTCCATCCTTGAACTCTCACTAAGGCCATCCTTGAACTCTCACTAAGTCCATCCTTGAACTCTCACTAAGTCCATCCTTGAACTCTCACTAAGGCCATCCTTGAACTCTCACTAAGTCCATCCTTGAATTCTCACTAAGGCCATCCTTGAACTCTCACTAAGTCCATCCTTGAACTCTCACTAAGTCCATCCTTGAACTCTCACTAAGGCCATCCTTGAACTCTCACTAAGTCCATCCTTGAACTCTCACTAAGTCCATCCTTGAACTCTCACTAAGTCCATCCTTGAACTCTCACTAAGTCCATCCTTGAACTCTCACTAAGTCCATCCTTAAAGTCTCACTTTTAAGTCTTGCTTTCTTTTACTCACGTTCTAACTGAAAGAAGTCAAATTTGATTTATTGAAACAAATGTTTATACAGAGGCAGATAAAAGAAAATAGCTTTACTATAGGTAAAGAGGAAAATGCTTGAATTTTTATAATAAACTTTTTATATTGTTGCTACTATTTATCTTTAACATTGTCCATGTTTAAATTTTTGTCTGGTCAAATGTTTATATTTTTGTCTGGTCAAATGTTTACATTTTTGTCTGGTCAAATATTTATATTTTGGTCTGGTCAAATGTTTACTACATTTTTGTCTGGTCAAATGTTTACATTTTTATCTGGACAAATGTTTACATTTTTGTCTGGTCAAATGTTTACATTTTTGTCTGGTCAAATATTTACATTTTTGTCTGGTCAATTGTTTACATTTTTGTCTGGTCAAATGTTTTCATTTTTGTCTGGTCAAATGTTTACATTTTTGTCTGGTCAAATGTTTACATTTTTGTCTGGTCAAATATTTATATTTTGGTCTGGTCAAATGTTTACTACATTTATGTCTGGCCAAATGTTTACATTTTTATCTGGTCAAATGTTTACCTGAAGTAGGTCAGGTAATTTTGTTGTTGTATGCAGTGCTGGGGTTACTTGTGTCTACCTTTAAAATAACACTTAGTCTAACGTCCTTCTATCACTGGATGAGTTACATGCTGAACTCAAGACTTACTTGTATCAACAGTAAACTGTTCAGCTGGGTATGAGAACAAGAACGGCTCAGACATTTGTAGCCAGTGTGACGTTGGCCATTACAAGGATGCACCTGGGGCCACCACATGTAAACCATGTGCTCCAGACCTGGGGGCCAACAACATCACCATCTCCCCCAGCCCAGGCGCAACAGACAAGAAAAACTGTTCCAAGTGTGAGTACATACTTGCAGCATCAGTCAAACACATGTAACTGTCAGACTGTCAGTGAGACACATGTAACTGTCAGACTGTCAGTCAGACATTGACAACATGAGATGTTTGTACTTACAGTGGTGTGTGTCGCTGGCTACTACCCTAGTGAAGGAAAGACTTGTCTCCCCTGCAGTTATGGAACCTATCAGCCCACTAGGTGGCAGGACCAGTGTCTGCACTGTGATGGAGGCTACACAACATACACGCTTGGTTCCATACACAAGGAGGACTGTCAGTGTAGGTTAACACACCAGTAACAACAGCTTTCAGAGCTGGGTGACTGGTACATCAACAGCTTTCAGAGCTGGGTGGACTGGTACAACAACAGCTTTCAGAGCTGGGTGGACTGGTACATCAACAGCACGTAATTTTACTATTTTGACACCCAGGTTACGAATTATGCCGCAAAAGTTACGCTTTTGCCTTCAGTAGATATCAAAATCATTTTATTTTCTGGTGGTAACTTCCCGGTTTGGGTTTATATTTAGCTAGTTAACATTTCAGTGTGTTTTTGGTTCTATGCTTTCAAACATATTCTGTAACAATCCCCGTTCCTCCCATGTCAGGCGGCAGTCGTTGGGTCTTTTGACCCCGTCAGTGGTCTGTGTTACCTCGTGAGCTGGTGATGTGTGAGCTGGTGATGTGTGATGTGTGAGCTGGTGATGTGTGAGCTGGTGATGTGTGATGTGTGAGCTGGTGATGTATGAGCTGGTGATGTGTGAGCTGGTGATGTGTGAGCTGGTGATGTGTGAGCTGGTGATGTGTGATGTGTGAACTGGTGATGTGTGAGCTGGTGATGTGTGATGTGTGAGCTGGTGATGTATAAGCTGGTGATGTGTGAGCTGGTGATGTGTGAGCTGGTGATGTGTGAGCTGGTGATGTGTGATGTGTGAACTGGTGATGTGTGATGTGTGAACTGGTGATGTGTGAGCTGCTGATGTGTGAGCTGGTGATGTGTGAGCTGGTGATGTGTGAGCTGGTGATGTGTGAGCTGGTGATGTGTGAGCTGGTGATGTGTGATGTGTGAGCTGGTGATGTGTGATGTATGAGCTGGTGATGTATGATGTGTGAGCTGGTGATGTGTGAGCTGGTGATGTGTGAGCTGGTGATGTGTGAGCTGGTGATGTGTGAGCTGGTGATGTGTGAGCTGGTGATGTGTGAGCTGGTGATGTGTGAGCTGGTGATGTATGAGCTGGTGATGTATGAGCTGGTGATGTGTGATGTGTGAGCTGGTGATGTGTGATGTGTGAGCTGCTGATGTGTGATGTGTGAGCTGGTGATGTGTGAGCTGGTGATGTGTGATGTGTGAGCTGGTGATGTGTGAGCTGGTGATGTGTGAGCTGGTGATGTGTGATGTGTGAGCTGGTGATGTGTGAGCTGGTGATGTGTGAGCTGGTGATGTGTGATGTGTGAGCTGGTGATGTGTGAGCTGGTGATGTGTGATGGGTGAGCTGGTGATGTATCAGCTGGTGATGTGTGAGCTGGTGATGTGTGATGTGTGAGCTGGTGATGTGTGATGTATAAGCTGGTGATGTGTGAGCTGGTGATGTGTGAGCTGGTAATGTGTGATGTGTGAGCTGGTGATGTGTGATGTGTGAGCTGGTGATGTGTGATGTGTGAGCTGGTGATGTGTGAGCTGGTGATGTGTGAGCTGATGATGTGTGAGCTGGTGATGTGTGAGCTGGTGATGTGTGAGCTGGTGATGTGTGAGCTGGTGATGTGTGAGCTGGTGATGTGTGATGTGTGAGCTGGTGATGTGTGATGTGTGAGCTGGTGATGTGTGAGCTGGTGATGTGTGAGATGGTGATGTGTGAGCTGGTGATGTGTGATGTGTGAGCTGGTGATGTGTGATGTGTGAGCTGGTGATGTGTGAGCTGGTGATGTGTGATGTGTGAGCTGGTGATGTGTGAGCTGGTGATGTGTGAGATGGTGATGTGTGAGCTGGTGATGAGTGAGCTGGTGATGTGTTAGCTGGTGATGTGTGATGTATGAGCTGGTGATGTGTGAACTGGTGATGTGTGATGTGTGAGCTGGTGATTTGTGAGCTGGTAATGTGTGATGTGTGAGCTGGTGATGTGTGAGCTGGTGATGTGTGATGTGTAAGCTGGTGATGTGTTAGCTGGTGATGTGTGATGTATGAGCTGGTGATGTGTGAACTGGTGATGTGTGATGTGTGAGCTGGTGATGTGTGAGCTGGTGATATGTGATGTGTGAGCTGGTGATGTGTGAGCTGGTGATGTGTGAGCTGGTGATGTGTGAGCTGGTGATGTGTGAGCTGGTGATGTGTGAGCTGGTGATGTGTGATGTGTGAGCTGGTGATGTGTGAGCTGGTTATGTGTGAGCTGGTGATGTGTGATGTGTGAGCTGGTGATGTATGAGCTGGTGATGTGTGAGCTGGTGATGTGTGAGCTGGTGATGTGTGATGTGTGAGCTGGTGATGTGTGAGCTGATGATGTGTGAGCTGGTGATTTGTGATGTGTGAGCTGGTGATGTATGAGCTGGTGATGTGTGAGCTGGTGATGTGAGAGCTGGTGATGTGAGAGCTTGTGATGTGTGAGCTGGTGATGTGTGATGTGTGAGCTGGTGATGTGTGAGCTGGTGATGTGTGATGTGTGAGCTGGTGATGTGTGAGCTGGTGATGTGTGAGCTGGTGATGTGTGAGCTGTTGATGTGTGAGCTGGTGATGTGTGAGCTGGTGATGTGTGATGTGTGAACTGGTGATGTGTGATGTGTGAACTGGTGATGTGTGAGCTGCTGATGTGTGAGCTGGTGATGTGTGAGCTGGTGATGTGTGATCTGGTGATGTGTGAGCTGGTGATGTGTGAGCTGGTGATGTGTGAGCTGGTGATGTGTGAGCTGGTGATGTGTGAGCTGGTGATGTGTGATGTATGAGCTGGTGATGTATGATGTGTGAGCTGGTGATGTGTGAGCTGGTGATGTGTGAGCTGGTGATGTGTGAGCTGGTGATGTGTGAGCTGGTGATGTGTGAGCTGGTGATGTGTGAGCTGGTGATGTATGAGCTGGTGATGTATGAGCTGGTGATGTGTGATGTGTGAGCTGGTGATGTGTGATGTGTGAGCTGCTGATGTGTGATGTGTGAGCTGGTGATGTGTGAGCTGGTGATGTGTGATGTGTGAGCTGGTGATGTGTGAGCTGGTGATGTGTGAGCTGGTGATGTGTGATGTGTGAGCTGGTGATGTGTGAGCTGGTGATGTGTGAGCTGGTGATGTGTGAGCTGGTGATGTGTGATGTGTGAGCTGGTGATGTGTGAGCTGGTGATGTGTGAGCTGGTGATGTGTGAGCTGGTGATGTGTGATGGGTGAGCTGGTGATGTATCAGCTGGTGATGTGTGAGCTGGTGATGTGTGATGTGTGAGCTGGTGATGTGTGATGTATAAGCTGGTGATGTGTGAGCTGGTGATGTGTGAGCTGGTAATGTGTGATGTGTGAGCTGGTGATGTGTGATGTGTGAGCTGGTGATGTGTGATGTGTGAGCTGGTGATGTGTGAGCTGGTGATGTGTGAGCTGATGATGTGTGAGCTGATGATGTGTGAGCTGGTGATGTGTGAGCTGGTGATGTGTGAGCTGGTGATGTGTGAGCTGGTGATGTGTGAGCTGGTGATGTGTGAGCTGGTGATGTGTGAGCTGGTGATGTGTGAGCTGGTGATGTGTGATGTGTGAGCTGGTGATGTGTGATGTGTGAGCTGGTGATGTGTGAGCTGGTGATGTGTGAGATGGTGATGTGTGAGCTGGTGATGTGTGATGTGTGAGCTGGTGATGTGTGATGTGTGAGCTGGTGATGTGTGAGCTGGTGATGTGTGATGTGTGAGCTGGGGATGTGTGAGCTGGTGATGTGTGAGCTGTTGATGTGTGAGCTGGTGATGAGTGAGCTGGTGATGTGTTAGCTGGTGATGTGTGATGTATGAGCTGGTGATGTGTGAACTGGTGATGTGTGATGTGTGAGCTGGTGATTTGTGAGCTGGTAATGTGTGATGTGTGAGCTGGTGATGTGTGAGCTGGTGATGTGTGATGTGTAAGCTGGTGATGTGTTAGCTGGTGATGTGTGATGTATGAGCTGGTGATGTGTGAACTGGTGATGTGTGATGTGTGAGCTGGTGATGTGTGAGCTGGTGATGTGTGATGTGTGAGCTGGTGATGTGTGAGCTGGTGATGTGTGAGCTGGTGATGTGTGAGCTGGTGATGTGTGAGCTGGTGATGTGTGAGCTGGTGATGTGTGAGCTGGTGATGTGTGAGCTGGTGATGTGTGATGTGTGAGCTGGTGATGTTTTAGCTGGTGATTTGTGAGCTGGTGATGTGAGAGCTGGTGATGTGTGATGTGTGAGCTGGTGATGTGTGAGCTGGTGATGTGAGATGTGTGATGTGTGAGCTGGTAATGTGTGATGTGTGAGCTGGTGATGTGTGAGCTGGTGATGTGAGAGCTGGTGATGTGTGAGCTGGTGATGTGTGATGTGTGAGCTGGTGATGTGTGAGCTGGTGATGTATAAGCTGGTGATGTGTGAGCTGGTGATGTGAGAGCTTGTGATGTTTGAGCTGGTGATGTGTGAGCTGGTGATGTGTGAGCTGGTGATGTGTGAGCTGGTGATGTGTGAGCTGGTGATGTGTGAGCTGGTGATGTGTGAGCTGGTGATGTGTGAGCTGGTGATGTGTGAGCTGGTGATGTGTGATGTGTGAGCTGGTGATGTGTGAGCTGGTTATGTGTGAGCTGGTGATGTGTGATGTGTGAGCTGGTGATGTATGAGCTGGTGATGTGTGAGCTGGTGATGTGTGAGCTGGTGATGTGTGATGTGTGAGCTGGTGATGTGTGAGCTGATGATGTGTGAGCTGGTGATGAGTGAGCTGGTGATTTGTGATGTGTGAGCTGGTGATGTGTGAGCTGGTGATGTGAGAGCTGGTGATGTGAGAGCTTGTGATGTGTGAGCTGGTGATGTGTGATGTGTGAGCTGGTGATGTGTGATGTGTGAGCTGGTGATGTGTGAGCTGTTGATGTGTGAGCTGGTGATGTGTGAGCTGGTGATGTGTGATGTGTGAGCTGGTGATGTGTGAGCTGGTGATGTGTGAACTGGTGATGTGTAAGCTGGTGATGTGTGAGCTGGTGATGTGTGAGCTGGTGATGTGTGAGCTGGTGATGTGTGATGTGTGAGCTGGTTATGTGTGATGTGTGAGCTGGTGATGTGTGAGCTGGTGATGTGTGATGTGTGAGCTGGTGATGTGTGAGCTGGTGATGTGTGAGCTGGTGATGTGTGAGCTGGTGATGTGTGAGCTGGTGATGTGTGAGCTGGTGATGTGTGAGCTGGTGATGTGTGAGATGGTGATGTGTGAGCTGGTGATGTGTGAGCTGGTGATGTGTGATGTGTGAGCTGGTGATGTGTGATGTGTGAGCTGGTGATGTGTGAGCTGGTGATGTGTGAGCTGGTGATGTGTGAGCTGGTGATGTGTGAGCTGGTGATGTGTGAGCTGGTGATGTGTGAGCTGGTGATGTGTGAGCTGGTGATGTGTGAGCTGGTGATGTGTGATGTGTGAGCTGGTGATGTATGAGCTGGTGATGTGTGAGCTGGTGATGTGTGAGCTGGTGATGTGTGAGCTGGTGATGTGTGATGTGTGAGCTGGTGATGTGTGAGCTGGTGATGTGTGAGCTGGTGATGTGTGAGCTGGTGATGTGTGAGCTGGTGATGTGTGAGCTGGTGATGTGTGAGCTGGTGATGTGTGAGCTGGTGATGTGTGAGATGGTGATGTGTGAGATGGTGATGTGTGAGCTGGTGATGTGTGATGTGTGAGCTGGTGATGTGTGATGTGTGAGCTGGTGATGTGTGAGCTGGTGATGTGTGATGTGTGAGCTGGGGATGTGTGATGTGTGATGTGTGAGCTGGTGATGTGTGAGCTGTTGATGTGTGAGCTGGTGATGTGTAAGCTGGTGATGTGTGAGCTGGTGATGTGTAAGCTGGTGATGTGTGAGCTGGTGATGTGTGATGTGTGAGCTGGTGATGTGTGAGCTGGTTATGTGTGATGTGTGAGCTGGTGATGTGTCAGCTGGTGATGTGTGATGTGTGAGCTGGTGATGTGTGAGCTGGTGATGTGTGAGCTGGTGATGAGTGAGATGGTGATGTGTGAGCTGGTGATGTGTGAGCTGGTGATGTGTGAGCTGGTGATGTGTGATGTGTGAGCTGGTGATGTGTGAGCTGGTGATGTGTGAGCTGGTGATGTGTAAGCTGGTGATGTGTGAGCTGGTGATGTGTAAGCTGGTGATGTGTGATGTGTGAGCTGGTGATGTGTGATGTGTGAGCTGGTGATGTGTGAGCTGGTGATGTGTGAGCTGGTGATGTGTGAGCTGGTGATGTGTGAGCTGGTGATGTGTGATGTGTGAGCTGGTGATGTGTGAGCTGGTGATGTGTGATGTGTGAGCTGGTGATGTGTGAGCTGGTGATGTGTGAGCTGGTGATGTGTGAGCTGGTGATGTGTGATGTGTGAGCTGGGGATGTGTGATGTGTGAGCTGGTGATGTGTGATGTGTGAGCTGGTGATGTGTGAGCTGGTGATGTGTGAGCTGGTGACGTGTGAGCTGGTGATGTGTGATGTGTGAGCTGGTGATGTGTGAGCTGGTGATGTGTGAGCTGGTGATGTGTAAGCTGGTGATGTGTGAGCTGGTGATGTGTGATGTGTGAGCTGGGGATGTGTGATGTGTGAGCTGGGGATGTGTGATGTGTGAGCTGGTGATGTGTGAGCTGGTGATGTGTGAGCTGGTGATGTGTGAGCTGGTGATGTGTGAGCTGGTGATGTGTGAGCTGGTGATGTGTGATGTGTGAGCTGGTGATGTATGAGCTGGTGATGTGTGAGCTGGTGATGTGTGAGCTGGTGATGTGTGAGCTGGTGATGTGTGATGTGTGAGCTGGTGATGTGTGATATGTGAGCTGGTGATGTGTGAGCTGGTGATGTGTGAGCTGGTGATGTGTGAGCTGGTGATGTGTGAGCTGGTGATGTGTGAGCTGGTGATGTGTGATGTGTGAGCTGGTGATGTGTGAGCTGGTGATGTGTGAGCTGGTGATGTGTGAGCTGGTGATGTGTGAGCTGGTGATGTGTGAGCTGGTGATGTGTGATGTGTGAGCTGGTGATGTGAGAGCTGGTGATGTGTGATGTGTGAGCTGGTGATGTGTGAGTTGGTGATGTGTGAGTTGGTGATGTGTGAGCTGGTGATGTGTGAGCTGGTGATGTGTAAGCTGGTGATGTGTGAGCTGGTGATGTGTAAGCTGGTGATGTGTGAGCTGGTGATGTGTGATGTGTGAGCTGGTGATGTGTGAGCTGGTTATGTGTGATGTGTGAGCTGGTGATGTGTGAGCTGGTGATGTGTGAGCTGGTGATGTGTGAGCTGGTGATGTGTGAGCTGGTGATGTGTGATGTGTGAGCTGGTGATGTGTGAGCTGGTGATGTGTGAGCTGGTGATGTGTGAGCTGGTGATGTGTGAGCTGGTGATGTGTAAGCTGGTGATGTGTGAGCTGGTGATGTGTAAGCTGGTGATGTGTGATGTGTGAGCTGGTGATGTGTGATGTGTGAGCTGGTGATGTGTGATGTGTGAGCTGGTGATGTGTGAGCTGGTGATGTGTGAGCTGGTGATGTGTGATGTGTGAACTGGTGATGTGTGAGCTGGTGATGTGTGAGCTGGTGATGTGTGAGCTGGTGATGTGTGAGCTGGTGATGTGTGAGCTGGTGATGTGTGATGTGTGAGCTGGGGATGTGTGATGTGTGAGCTGGTGATGTGTGAGCTGGTGATGTGTGAGCTGGTGATGTGTGAGCTGGTGACGTGTGAGCTGGTGATGTGTGAGCTGGTGATGTGTGAGCTGGTGATGTGTGAGCTGGTGATGTGTGAGCTGGTGATGTGTAAGCTGGTGATGTGTGAGCTGGTGATGTGTGATGTGTGAGCTGGGGATGTGTGATGTGTGAGCTGGTGATGTGTGATGTGTGAGCTGGTGATGTGTGAGCTGGTGATGTGTGAGCTGGTGATGTGTGAGCTGGTGATGTGTGAGCTGGTGATGTGTGAGCTGGTGATGTGTGATGTGTGAGCTGGTGATGTATGAGCTGGTGATGTGTGAGCTGGTGATGTGTGAGCTGGTGATGTGTGAGCTGGTGATGTGTGATGTGTGAGCTGGTGATGTGTGAGCTGGTGATGTGTGAGCTGGTGATGTGTGATGTGTGAGCTGGTGATGTGTGATGTGTGAGCTGGTGATGTATGAGCTGGTGATGTGTGAGCTGGTGATGTGTGAGCTGGTGATGTGTGAGCTGGTGATGTGTGAGCTGGTGATGTATGAGCTGGTGATGTGTGAGCTGGTGATGTGTGATCTGGTGATGTGTGAGCTGGTGATGTGTGAGCTGGTGATGTGTGAGCTGGTGATGTGTGATGTGTGAGCTGGTGATGTGTGAGCTGGTGATGTGTGAGCTGGTGATGTGTGAGCTGGTGATGTGTGATGTCTGAGCTGGTGATGTGTGAGCTGGTGATGTATGAGCTGGTGATGTGTGAGCTGGTGATGTGTGATGTGTGAGCTGGTGATGTTTGAGCTGGTGATGTTTGAGCTGGTGATGTGTGAGCTGGTGATGTGTGAGCTGGTGATGTGTGAGCTGGTGATGTGTGATGTGTGAGCTGGTGATGTGTGAGCTGGTGATGTGTGATGTGTAAGCTGGTGATGTGTGAGCTGGTGATGTGTGATGTGTGAGCTGGTGATGTGTGAGCTGGTGATGTGTGATGTGTGAGCTGGTGATGTGTGATGTGTGAGCTGGTGATGTGTGAGCTGGTGATGTGTGAGCTGGTGATGTGTGATGTGTGAGCTGGTGATGTGTGAGCTGGTGATGTGTGATGTGTGAGCTGGTGATGTGTGAGCTGGTGATGTGTGAGCTGGTGATGTGTGATGTGTGAGCTGGTGATGTCCTCATAGAAAAAAGAAATAGTCGGTGGCCTAAATCAGGGGTCTCCAAACTACGGCCCGCGGGCCGGATACGGCCCGCGAGGTCCTCTTATCCGGCCCGCGGAGATCTTTTTGTCCACGGAAAAAACGTTTGTTGGTGATGGCTGAGGAACTTTGCCCAGAAAAATCAAAGACATGTCTGGAAGAAACTTGCCCCCGAACTGAAATTTGATATTTAATGCGGCCCTCGGACGGAAAAGTTTGGAGACCCCTGGCCTAAATCATTGAAAGTCTGGTCGCGCATGGAAAATATCTTGATTAAAATTAAACCTACATTTAGATCTACTCTTTATTTTCTCAAGAAAATAAATCTGCGGTTTAAATAATAAAGTAGTTGCCTAAGCTTTATAAGCTTAGGTTTCTATTTATTTATAAAATTATCTGGGTGTGGGTAAAACGCGAAAGGCGAAACGTATCTATGAGATTATGGGTAAATAGTGAGACATAATTTATCATGACATTTTGTTTTGTTGTTTTAGATGTACGAGAAGACACGTTTTTACTTAATAACAAGATATAGGCCCACCTAGACCAATCATGGGTCGTATTTCAAAAAATATTTTCTTCTAAATATTACCTAGATAAAATCTATATTTAAAAAAAAAAAATCAAGAAATATGCCAATTCTAAACATTGTCACTCATGTGATTGACCTCTCATGTTTTCTTGCGAGTGTGAAAAAAATCCTGACAAAGTCGAGGGGTCACTGAGTTCACATTGGTTCACATGATTTTTAATCAATGTTTAATTACTTCAACTTTTTAAAATAGAAAAAAATCTCCTAGACAAAAGAATTTTGCACCAAGTAAACAGCAAACAATGTGTGTATAATTGTGCGTAAAATTAGTACTTTATAAATTCATATGCGTTTTTCGAGTAAACGGAAATAGCTTAGAGTACTACTTTCAGTGAACGGAAATTACTCAAATTTTGATAGACGGCAGATAATTAGATGTCTTACTTATATATGAAATTTAGTGACAATTGAAGTGTTTTATTCCCCCACAGTAAACTGTAGTGTAGGTCAAGGACTATACAATGGGACCTGCAGAAACTGCAGCATTGGCTTCTACAATGATAAACAAGATCCTAGTGTGAGGGATTGCAAGCAGTGCCCACCTTCATTTATAACAGAGACAGAAGGAGCAACATCCGTCTCCATGTGTACCATAGGTATCTGCTCTTTTAATTATGTGTACCATAGGTATCTGCTCTTTTATTTATGTGTACCATAGGTATCTGCTTTTATTTATGTGTACCATAGGTATCTGCTCTTTTAATTATGACCACAACCTGAAATGACCATGTGTCTGTGTGATCAGTGAACTGTGACCAAACCTGAAATGACCATGTGTCTGTGTGATCAGTGAACTGTGACCAAACCTGAAATGACCATGTGTCTGTGTGATGAACTGTGACCAAACCTGAAATGACCATGTGATCAGTGAACTGTGACCAAACCTGAAATGACCATGTGTCTGTGTGATCAGTGAACTGTGACCAAACCTGAAATGACCATGTGTCTGTGTGATGAACTGTGACCAAACCTGAAATGACCATGTGATCAGTGAACTGTGACCAAACCTGAAATGACCATGTGTCTGTGTGATGAACTGTGACCAAACCTGAAATGACCAAGTGATCAGTGAACTGTGACCAAACCTGAAATGACCATGTGACTTTTGTTCCACCAGTGAACTGTGACAAACTGGGCCAGTACAGAGATGTTGCGACCAACACTTGTGTAGACTGTCCTGTGGGGACTTTTCAGGACTTGATTAGACAAACGTCCTGTAAGACATGTCCTGGCGGGACCACTACCCAGTTTACTGGCAGTGTTAGCCAAACTGATTGCAAAAGTAGGTTTACACTCTTGCCTAAATAAGTTTGTTTATGCATTCATTTTGTTTATGTTTACATTTATTGTAAAAACTGTCATGTTTATGTATTTTGTGACTTTTTTTTGTTTATTCAAAGTTTTATTTTTTTCCTGCCTTCCAAATGGTTCCCACATAATGACTTGATATTGTGTTGTTGACTGTATTTGAAAATGAAATTGCTTGACCTCCATAAAGAGGACTGCCCCGCCGGTCAGCAGCTCAATGAGGCCCTCAACATTTGTCAGCCGTGTGAGAGAGGTTTCTACCGTCCAAAGTCTAGCTGGACTTGTCTACCCTGTGGCACTGACCTGACCACACCCAACCCTGGCGCCACATCACAGGCTGATTGCCACGTCCGTACGTCACCCATTTTTCTAGAACTTCTCTCTGCCAGGGTTTGACAGAAATGCTACTGTGTTTAGCCAGGGTTTGACAGAAATTCTACTGTGTTAAGCTAGGGTTTGACAGAAATTGTTCTGTGTTTAGCCATGGTTTGACAGAAATTCTACTGTGTTTAGCCAGGGTTTGACAGAAATGATACTGTTTAGCCAGGGTTTGACAGAAATGCTACAGTGTTTAGCCAGGGTTTGACAGAAATGCTACTGTGTTTAGCCAGGGTTTGACAGAAATGATACTGTTTAGCCATGGTTTGACAGAAATTCTACTGTGTTTAGCCAGGGTTTGACAGAAATTCTACAGTGTTTAGCCAGGGTTTGACAGAAATGCTACAGTGTTTAGCCAGGGTTTGACAGAAATTGTTCTAGTCCCGTGACAATAAAATCCCTGTCTCTGGTTCTAGCCACCTGTGTGGCAGGCAAGTTCTACAGTGATGCCAGCAAGTCTTGTCTAGAGTGTCCACTCCACTCCTACCAGGACCTGGCTGGTCAGCGGGACTGCAAGCCGTGTCCAGACAACACAGTGACCGCAAGCACAGGAACCACCAGCCTTACTGGCTGCCAAGGTCAGATGCCTAGTTAACATCACATTCAACTCTACAAATATGACCGTCAAAGTACCCCCACATTTTTCTCAGTTACTGAAAGCAAATTGTTCAAAAACCTTTACACTTGTTTTCAGCTCCTTGTGACATTGGCAGTGGCACGAAATGTTCTGTCAGCTCTGAGGCTTGTGTCAATGACCTTTCTGTCAGTGATGGTTACAGATGTGATTGTAAACCAGAGTACACCAACATCAGCAACAAATGTATCCGTAAGTTATGGCAACAAATGTATCCGTAATTTATGGCAACAAATGTATCCGTAAGTTATGGCAACAAATGTATCCGTAAGTTATGGCAACAAATGTATCCGTAAGTTATGGCAACAAATGTATCCGTAAGTTATGGCAACAAATGTATCCGTAAGTTATGGCAACAAATGTATCCGTAAGTTATGGCAACAAAAGTATCCGTAAGTTATGGCAACAAATGTATCCGTAAGCTATGGCAACAAATGTATCCTTAAGCTATGGCAACAAATGTATCCGTAAGCTATGGCAACAAATGTATCCGTAAGCTATGGCAACAAATGTATCCATAAGCTATGGCAACAAATGTATCCGTAAGTTATGGCAACAAATGTATCCGTAAGCTATGGCAACAAATGTATCCGTAAGTTATGGCAACAAATGTATCCGTAAGCTATGGCAACAAATGTATCCGTAAGCTATGGCAACAAATGTATCCGTAAGCTATGGCAACAAATGTATCCGTAAGCTATGGCAACAAATGTATCCATAAGTTATGGCAACAAATGTATCCGTAAGTTATGGCAACAAATGTATCCGTAAGTTATGGCAACAAATGTATCCGTAAGCTATGTCAACAAATGTATCCGTAAGTTATGGCAACAAATGTATCCGTAAGTTATGGCAACAAATGTATCCGTAAGCTATGTCAACAAATGTATCCGTAAGTTATGGCAACAAATGTATCCGTAAGTTATGGCAACAAATGTATCCGTAAGCTATGGCAACAAATGTATCCGTAAGTTATGGCAACAAATGTATCCTTATGTCCCTGTACCTGAGTGATGTACCTGTACCTGAGTGATGTCCCTGTATTGCAGACAAGTGTGACACTGACTTCTGTGGACCTAAAGGTGTGTGCAGGAGGTCACCATTTAAATGTGAGTGTGTTGAAGGCTACTCCGGACCACAATGCAACATCAGACCAGGTTAGTCAAGCCCTCACAATATGTCATGTTCTAGCCCTCACAAGATGTCATGTTCTAGCCCTCACAATATGTCATGTTCTAGCCCTCACAAGATGTCATGTTCTAGCCCTCACAAGATGTCATGTTCTAGCCCTCACAAGATGTCATGTTCTAGCCCTCACAAGATGTCATGTTCTAGCCCTCACAAGATGTTATGTTCTAGCCCTCACAAGATGTTATGTTCTAGCCCTCACAAGATGTCATGTTCTAGCCCTCACAAAATGTCATGTTCTAGCCCTCACAAGATGTCATGTTCTAGCCCTTATAAGATGTCATGTTCTAGCCCTCACAAGATGTCATGTTCTAGCCCTCACAAGATGTCATGTTCTAGCCCTCACAAGATGTCATGTTCTAGCCCTCACAAGATGTCATGTTCTAGCCCTCACAAGATGTCATGTTCTAGCCCTCACAAGATGTCATGTTCTAGCCCTCACAAGATGTCATGTACTAGCCCTTATAAGATTTCATGTTCTAGCCCTCACAAGATGTCATGTTTTGGCCCTCACAAAATGTCATGTTCTAGCCCTCACAAAATGTCATGTTCTAGCCCTTATAAGATGTCATGTTCTAGCCCTTATAAGATGTCATGTTCTAGCCCTCACAAGATGTCATGTTCTAGCCCTCACAAGATGTCATGTTCTAGCCCTCACAAGATGTTATGTTCTAGCCCTCACAAGATGTCATGTTTTAGACCTCACAAGATGTCATGTTCTAGCCCTCACAAGATGTCATGTTCTAGCCCTCACAAGATGTCATGTTCTAGCCCTCACAAGATGTCATGTTTTAGACCTCACAAGATGTCATGTTCTAGCCCTCACAAGATGTCATGTTCTAGCCCTCACAAGATGTCATGTTTTAGACCTCACAAGATGTCATGTTCTAGCCCTCACAAGATGTCATGTTCTAGCCCTCACAAGATGTCATGTTCTAGCCCTCACAAGATGTCATGTTCTAGCCCTCACAAGATGTCATGTTCTAGCCCTCACAAGATGTCATGTTCTAGCCCTCACAAGATGTCATGTTCTAGCCCTCACAAGATGTCATGTACTAGCCCTTATAAGATTTCATGTTCTAGCCCTCACAAGATGTCATGTTTTGGCCCTCACAAAATGTCATGTTCTAGCCCTCACAAGATGTCATGTTCTAGCCCTCACAAGATGTCATGTTCTAGCCCTCATAAAATGTCATGTTCTAGCCCTCACAAGATGTCATGTTCTAGCCCTCACAAGATGTCATGTTCTAGCCCTTATAAGATGTCATGTTCTAACTCTCATACGATGTCATGTTCTAACTCTCATACGATGTCATGTTCTAGCCCTTATAAGATGTCATGTTCTAGCCCTTATAAGATGTCATGTTCTAGCCCTTATAAGATGTCATGTTCTAGCCCTTATAAGATGTCATGTTCTAGCCCTTATAAGATGTCATGTTCTAGCCCTCACAAGATGTCATGTTCTAGCCCTTATAAGATGTCATGTTCTAGCCCTCATATAATGTCATGATCTGGCTCTTACAAGATGTCATGTTCTAGCCCTCACAAGATGTCATGTTCTAGCCCTCACAAAATGTCATGTTCTAGCCCTCACAATATGTCATGTTCTAGCCCTCACAAGATGTCATGTTCTAGCCCTTATAAGATGTCATGTTCTAGCCCTCACAAGATGTCATGTTCTAGCCCTTATAAGATGTCATGTTCTAGCCCTTACAAGATGTCATGTTCTAGCTCTCATACGATGTCATGTTCTAGCCCTCACAAGATGTCATGTTCTAGCCCTTATAAGATGTCATGTTCTAACTCTCATATGATGTCATGTTCTAGCCCTCACAAGATGTCATGTTTTGGCCCTCACAAAATGTCATGTTCTAGCCCTCACAAGATGTCATGTTCTAGCCCTCACAAGATGTCATGTTCTAGCCCTCATAAAATGTCATGTTCTAGCCCTCACAAGATGTCATGTTCTAGCCCTCACAAGATGTCATGTTCTAGCCCTTATAAGATGTCATGTTCTAACTCTCATACGATGTCATGTTCTAACTCTCATACGATGTCATGTTCTAGCCCTTATAAGATGTCATGTTCTAGCCCTTATAAGATGTCATGTTCTAGCCCTTATAAGATGTCATGTTCTAGCCCTTATAAGATGTCATGTTCTAGCCCTTATAAGATGTCATGTTCTAGCCCTTATAAGATGTCATGTTCTAGCCCTCACAAGATGTCATGTTCTAGCCCTTATAAGATGTCATGTTCTAGCCCTCATAAAATGTCATGTTCTGGCCCTTACAAGATGTCATGTTCTAGCCCTCACAAGATGTCATGTTCTAGCCCTCACAAAATGTCATGTTCTAGCCCTCACAATATGTCATGTTCTAGCCCTCACAAGATGTCATGTTCTAGCCCTTATAAGATGTCATGTTCTAGCCCTCACAAAATGTCATGTTCTAGCCCTCACAATATGTCATGTTCTAGCCCTCACAAGATGTCATGTTCTAGCCCTTATAAGATGTCATGTTCTAGCCCTTACAAGATGTCATGTTCTAGCTCTCATACGATGTCATGTTCTAGCCCTCACAAGATGTCATGTTCTAGCCCTTATAAGATGTCATGTTCTAGCCCTCACAAGATGTCATGTTCTAGCCCTTATAAGATGTCATGTTCTAGCCCTCATAAAATGTCATGTTCTGGCCCTTACAAGATGTCATGTTCTAGCCCTCACAAGATGTCATGTTCTAGCCCTCACAAAATGTCATGTTCTAGCCCTCACAATATGTCATGTTCTAGCCCTCACAAGATGTCATGTTCTAGCCCTCACAAGATGTCATGTTCTAGCCCTTATAAGATGTCATGTTCTAGCCCTCACAAAATGTCATGTTCTAGCCCTCACAATATGTCATGTTCTAGCCCTCACAAGATGTCATGTTCTAGCCCTTATAAGATGTCATGTTCTAGCCCTTACAAGATGTCATGTTCTAGCTCTCATACGATGTCATGTTCTAGCCCTCACAAGATGTCATGTTCTAGCCCTTATAAGATGTCATGTTCTAACTCTCATACGATGTCATGTTCTAGCCCTCACAAGATGTCATGTTCTAGCTCTCATACGATGTCATGTTCTAACTCTCATACGATGTCATGTTCTGGCCCTTACAAGATGTCATGTTCTAGCCCTCACAATATGTCATGTTCTAGCCCTCACAAGATGTCATGTTCTAGCCCTTATAAGATGTCATGTTCTAGCCCTTACAAGATGTCATGTTCTAGCCCTCACAAAATGTCATGTTCTAGCCCTCACAATATGTCATGTTCTAGCCCTCACAAGATGTCATGTTCTAGCCCTTATAAGATGTCATGTTCTAGCCCTTACAAGATGTCATGTTCTAGCTCTCATACGATGTCATGTTCTAGCCCTCACAAGATGTCATGTTCTAGCCCTTATAAGATGTCATGTTCTAACTCTCATACGATGTCATGTTCTAGCCCTCACAAGATGTCATGTTCTAGCTCTCATACGATGTCATGTTCTAACTCTCATACGATGTCATGTTCTAGCCCTCACAATATGTCATGTTCTAGCCCTTATAAGATGTATTTTGATGTTCTTGTAGATGCAGCTGCCCTCTCAGACAAAGAAAATCAGACCATTTTGATAGCTGTCATCACAACATTGGGTGGGATCCTTTTCATCATTTTAATTATTGTCTGCATTTGTGTCATGTCAAGGTAAGGCTTCAATGGTTGCTGTATCACATCGACTAGTTTTTTTATCTGCCTTAACTAAGGCTTCGATGGTTGCTGTATCACATCGACTAGTTTTTTTATCTGCCTTAACTAAGGCTTCAATGGTTGCTGTATCACATCGACTAGTTTTTTATCTGCCTTAACTAAGGCTTCGATGGTTGCTGTATCACATCGACTAGTTTTTTATCTGCCTTAACTAAGGCTTCAATGGTTGCTATTACTATTCAAGTTATTCAATAATATTCCTTTTTTCTGGCACTTTTACCAATTGTGGCAGTTTAAATTGTACAGTTTGCCTGTTTATGTGATACAACTGTGTATATTAGAGTTAACATACTTGAATCTAGAACATCGCCTGTTTATGTGATACAACTGTGTATATTAGAGTTAACATACTTGAATCTAGAACATTGCCTGTTTATGTGATACAACTATGTATATTAGAGTTAACATACTTGAATCTAGAACATTGCCTGTTTATGTGATACAACTGTGTATATTAGAGTTAACATACTTGAATCTAGAACATTGCCTGTTTATGTGATACAACTGTGTATATTAGAGTTAACATACTTGGATCTAGAACATTGCCTGTTTATGTGATACAACTGTGTATATTAGAGTTAACATACTAGAACATTGGGCTTGGTAGTCAGAATTTCATGATTAAACTTTCAGACGCAGACGGCCTAGTCAAAAGACCCCTTACACTTCTGATCTAGATGAAAGAGCCAGCATTGCTACTCGTTCAATGAAGGGTTTTGAAGACTATCCAACATTTGCTGTCAATCCTGCTTTTTCTAGCAAGGCCCCATCAATGCTAAACAGCCCTATGATGGCCCTACCTTCACAGTCTGGGAAAACATACTACAACCCCACTTTTAATGGAGGCAAGTCATGCATAGTTGTAGAGCTCATTTTGATTTTGTAATGGAGGCAAGTCATGCATAGTTGTAGAGATCATTTTGTTTTTGTAATGGAGGCAAGTCATGCATAGTTGTAGAGATCATTTTGTTTTTGTAATAGAGGCAAGTCATGCATAGTTGTAGAGCTCATTTTGTTTTAGTGATGGAGGCAAGTCATGCATAGTTGTAGAGCTCATTTTGTTTTAGTAATAGAGGCAAGTCATGCATAGTTGTAGAGCTCATTTTGTTTTAGTGATGGAGGCAAGTCATGCATAGTTGTAGAGATCATTTTGTTTTTGTAATGGAGGCAAGTCATGCATAGTTGTAGAGATCATTTTGTTTTTGTAATGGAGGCAAGTCATGCATAGTTGTAGAGATCATTTTGTTTTAGTGATGGAGGCAAGTCATGCATAGTTGTAGAGCTCATTTTGTTTTAGTGATGGAGGCAAGTCATGCATAGTTGTAGAGATCATTTTGTTTTAGTGATGGAGGCAAGTCATGCATAGTTGTAGAGCTCATTTTGTTTTAGTGATGGAGGCAAGTCATGCATAGTTGTAGAGATCATTTTGTTTTAGTGATGGAGGCAAGTCATGCATAGTTGTAGAGATCATTTTGTTTTAGTAATGGAGGCAAGTCATGCATAGTTGTAGAGATCATTTTGTTTTTGTAAATATTGGCCTAGCATTTCAAACAGCCAGGGGTCAGATTCCTATTAGTGCTTGTAAACGTTTTTTTTAAGTTAAATTGTGAAAGATATTTATAAATTTCTCTTTGTTCTACTTCCACAGATGAAGACAATGATCCAGCTGTCTACAGAGCTTAGTTCTACCAGATCTTTCAACCAATCAAACCATCCCATGATGTTTTATTGTTAGCCAATCATGTTATCAGATTTTGTATCTTACTATCCATCCTAATCATCTCAATCACCTGAGTAGATTTGAAGCCAAGTATTCAAGCTTAAACTTGGGCCAGCTAACTTTGTATTCTCAGCATATTGTCACAATTCAATGTATTTATATAATTGATCACTTACTTACCATGTGTAGGCAGTTTGGGGGTGGGGAAGACTTGGAACATCCAAACTATACATCCAGTGACATCAAAGAATTCCACATTCACTGCTTGCCTCAATAACATCAAACCTTCAGAGCATATTCAGACAGTAATGGTCTTTCTGAGTTATAAGCATGTCTAAAATCTGCTGGGTCAAGTGAAAACTCTACACACACAGTGTTTAGATCCAAAAATCTGGTCCAGATTTGCTCTGAAAGACTTGTATGATTCAAGAGGCTTGTGACCTCACTGTCAAACTGTCTCCTGCAATTACCTCCCTTGGCTTCCTTTTTGTTTGAAAGTAAAATGTAAACAGTCATTAATTAAGTTAATTAGAAGGTCTAATTGTCTTATACTGTTGATTCAGGTCACTTGAAAGTTGTCTAATTATTTTTATGTATATTAAGTTAATTAGTTTATGTATATATAGAGAATTATATTATATACTGTTTAAATTTTACAAATGAAATATTTTAATAAAATACAATTTAAATTAAAAAGTGTTGAAATGTGTGCTTTATATCTTAATAATAATCATTAAAAAAGTTTTAAAAAACCCACGTTTTCTGATTGAACTAAAAAGTAGAAAATAAATGCTATAGGCCCTACATCACAATAATGCAAGCGATCACTCTACTATAAGCGATCAAAAACGTGGGGCGCCGAAGTAAAAGTTATATTACTATTGATTAGATAATACTATTGACTTTTATTAGGGAGCTTGTAGAGAGTCAACAGTATTAGAAACTGTAAGAAAATCACGGCGCCCCACGTTTTTGCTCGCTTATAGTAGAGTGATCGCTTGCATTATTGTGATGTAGGGCCTATAGCATTTATTTTCTACTTTTTAGTTCAATCAGAAAACGTGGGTTTTTTAAAACTTTTTTAATGATTATTATTTTCTACTTTTTAGTCTTTGTCTGTTTGTTTGCATTAAAATCTTGCTATCTGTGAGGGTACAATGGATCTTAGTTTGTAGTTCTTCTAGTTGTACCAATTGTGAGGGTGGGGATTTTAATGAAGGCCGGAACGAATGAATGCAATAACACACAGTTCAAGTTCAACTATAATTGTTCTTTATTAAAATGATATATATGTTCAAGTTTCTACCTAACTGATCTACACTGTACTATTTACTTCTACTACTGACTGTTCATAACACATGCTACCTACTACTACGCACTCCCATGACCAATCCTAACACTAACTGTTCTCTACATTCTACAACCTAACACCTTCTACCTTCGCTAGCTAATCATGATCTCCTCGCTATCTACCTTCTCGGCCGTCTCTGACCGCTACCTAACAACTCCTGGCCTATCGCTCTACTGCCCCACGCCTCAGTGGTCAGCTGACCGTCCCACGTGACCGGTCAGTCCTGTGCGCCCATTGGCCTCTCTAACCAACCAACTAGGCCTATAGTCTGTTTCTGCTAACCTATATCTGCTCAACATGTCTGACGTACTCTTGCGTCATCACATATCTCCCTCCCTTTCTGTAGCTGACAAATTATATTTTTCAGCGTGTGCTACTAATCTAATACATCAACAACTATCTATCTTACTACTCTATTCTATCCCTAACATCAATCATGTAAATCAAATACAAAATGGGACAGCACAGTTTACAAAAACATAAAATCTTGTGTCTGTGTTCATGAAAAAAAAATGTCATTGTTCTAGTTCTTGTGTCTCTGCTTGCTAATGTATGTCTATGTTATGGAATGTGTGAATCCAATCATGTGCAACTCAGTTCTGGCTAGGTTGTCCTGTACCGGCCTTGAGCTAATCTTAGTGGTAATGTGTAACTGGTTGAACGGCTCAGCGAGCAGTGTAAGTGTATGTGTAAGTTATGTAATTGTTGGCGTTCCTCTGTGGTGGGTGGGTTGTGGCGAGTTTTGGTGTAAATTCCCGTGAGGCGGGTGTAGGCGTAACTTTCGTTGGTCAATGTGATGACGCAACAAGCTCATCTCAACGCTGGTTGAGATGTCCATGTAGAGTGGTTATACGATGAACTGGAGCTGTCTGATGCGGTGGTGAACAATGACGTAACATTTCGACGCTGGGAACTTGGACGATGGGTCTTCTACCCTTTGTATGTGCCGACGTCGGTGTACGTAGCTGGCGGTCTGTTATTCAACCCCAGTGCGGGGGCGAAGCGGTGGCGATGCGCCCGCTGTCTTGACCCAGGCAATTCTCTGTTCAGTAGGGCTGGCCGCTGTCCAGGTAATTCAACGTAATCAGGGCTTCAGGTGGCGGCATTCTTTGAAGTGTGTTCTTCATCTCGTCTCATTCTGAATAAGCGTAGTGGGTCTGAAATTGTATTACGAGACCATGAGCAATGGTTTTACGTGGACTTTTTATTGCCCGCGCAGACAAGTATTCAGACAGAGGTACCTTCCATTAAAAAAAACTCAATCCCAAATTTATACGTGCTGAACATTTGTCTGGCGGCATAAAAACCATAAAAAAATAACATTACAACATATAACCAAATAAAAAAAAATCAGTACACTCTAATCTAACAACAATCTGTAAAGCCTAATAAACTCAATAGACGTAAACACTACTAGAGCTTAGAAATAGCTTCACAAAAAGAATAGACATGTAAGTGTATATCAATAATATTCTGCCATTTCAAATAACATTTGAACACGTAATCATATAGTGGAGCAGCTCTCACTATCTGACTTCTGACAAAAAAAAAACTGGCTGGCTTGACTTAATGACTGACTTCACTCATGACTTCAGTAAATTGACTGACTTCAGTAACTTGGCTTATTTCACTTTGACTTCAGTAACTCGACTGACTTCACTATGACGACTAATTTCACCTTGACGACTAACTTCACTGACTTCATAAACATCACTGACCGACTTCGACTTCACTTGACGACTGAATTCTCTTTGACGACTAACTTCACTGCGACAACTAAATCGACTGACTTCATCTTCATAGACCTCTGACTGACTTAAACTTCGACGACTTAAACGTCTTCACTTTGACTTCAAAGACTTTTCCTTGACTTCAACGACTTCAATATGACTTCAAAGACTTCACTTTGACTTCAACAACTTCAATATGACTTCAAAGACTTCACTTTGACTTCAACAACTTAAATATGACTTCAAAGACTTCACTTTGACTTCAACAACTTCAATATGACTTCAAAGACTTCACTTTGACTTCAACAATTTCAATATGACTTCAAAGACTTTAACTTTGACTTCAAAGATTTCAACGACATCACTTTGATTTCAAAGACTTCGCTATAACTTCGACGATTTCACTTCTTCACTATGACCTCAACGACTTTAATATAACTTCAAAGACTTTTCTTTGACTGCAACATGACTTCAACTACGTCACTATGACCTCAACTATGACTTCAACAACTTATTGACTGACCTGACTGACTTCACGCCGATTTCTCGGCGACTTAGATTCACACAAAAAATCTCGACTTAACTTCACCATTATGTTCATTATTCAAATCATTAGTGGGGGCGTTCCGGGTCAAATTATATCCAGGCATTAATATACCACACTAGGACCGATAGGGCGGGGCTCGGTGTGGACAAAGGTGTTGTGAGCTTTCATATGGTCTATGATTACTATACTTGTGTTTGTGTAGGTGTGTTGGTGGGGTCATCTGGTTTAAGGCTGACAGGAGTAACAGTACTGTTTGTCTGCTATCAAATTCCTTGTTACATATTCCTCTGATTTATTGTTTACCGATTTCTCCAATCTCAGCAATCTATTACTGACTGTGTCGTTCTGCAGTCTTAAGTTAAGAACATCTGCACCAATCTCGGTAATCTTTATAGAATGATCCTCAATAACCTCGTTAACTTTTTCTATCAACTTGTCCGTTTTGAAATGCAATTCGTCTACTTTTGTGTCTACTTGTTCTTTGTCCCGAATACTGGGCTGCTTGTTTATTTGTTGCTTGTGACTCATGAATTCTACATTAAATTGCTTCACTCCTGTAATGTTGCCTAGTATCATATCGTATGGCCCGTTTTTGAAAACAGCTGCTTCAAATGTTTTACACGCTGAGGGTGTGGCTATGGTGACTATGGCTGTTGGCCAAACATATGTGCTGCCTCTTGAGCTGTGGACAAGTTGTGTTCTGCCTGTGTATTGGTGATGTTGTACGAATGTGTTACGTACTGCCACTGTGGAGCATAGTGTATCCCTAATTGCTGTGGCGTATCTGTTATTAATTTTTGACGTAAATGTGTCTGTTCTTTTACTGGCTTCTGTAAACGATGATATGAATGCTATTCTATTAATCTGTCTATATTTTGGTCTGTTGCGTTGTGCATCTTGTTGGCGTATATCATAATATCGTATTCTGCAATTTATTTGTTTGTGGCCTGTTCTATTACAATAGTAGCATCTGACACTGTAATTGTGTTTTTGTTGACTGAAGTTAATCTGAATGTTGTGATTTGCGCTATTATGTTTTTGGAGTGTATGTGGTGTTTCACTTTTTGTAGTAGGTATTTCGCTTGCTTCACTGAACGTGTCATCTGAATCTGAGTCGTAGGAATAGTAAAATGTTGTTTCGGCTGTCTGGTTGTTATTATTAGTATCTAAACTTTGCACCGTTTCTTGTTTGGCTAGGCTAAGTTCTCTCAGTTTTTCTCTTTCTTTACGAATTCTTTCTGTTTCTTCTTTAATTCCGGCAATATATGTTTCTGCTTCTCTTTGTTTCTCTGCTAACTCGGCATCTATCTTTGCATCATATTCTTCTTCATTTAACAAGGAATCTGGATCTCCGGTTACCTTATAATCTACAATTCTATTGATCAAATCTTCCATAGCATCTGGATCATCTAGAGTTTTTGCGTCAAATTCTTTAACAGTTAATAACCAGTCTCTATTTTCTGTTGTCGTGTATTGTCCAAGCCTAATAATCAATTCATCCAGAATATCTGGATCCTCAATAGTTCTTGAATTGTGTTCCATTTTAACTGTATTCTGAACATTTGTGTATAGCAACAAGTCATCAATTCTACCTGGCTCTTCTAGGCCTGACTCTTTAGGGACTGATTCGTTCAATGGAGGCATTTTTAAGGGTAGTGTGGTTGAATAAACAGATAAGAAGAGGCAGAAAAACCGCTGGTACCAACTATCCAGCACGGCTCTAAACCCAAACGTTTTTAAAAAAACAAAATGTTGGAAGGTACTTATCTTTTTGAACATGGTGACAGTTCCCTTGTGTCGTTAATCCAAACTCGTTCCGGTTGAAGAAACCCGCTGTTGTGTTGAGTTGAAGAAAGCTGTACACCAGTACACTCCGTCATGAGTAACCGATATACTGTCTTTCCTGTCCTCGACCCGCGCTCCGCCACTTGTGAGGGTACAATGGATCTTAGTTTGTAGTTCTTCTAGTTGTACCAATTGTGAGGGTGGGGATTTTAATGAAGGCCGGAACGAATGAATGCAATAACACACAGTTCAAGTTCAACTATAATTGTTCTTTATTAAAATGATATATATGTTCAAGTTTCTACCTAACTGATCTACACTGTACTATTTACTTCTACTACTGACTGTTCATAACACATGCTACCTACTACTACGCACTCCCATGACCAATCCTAACACTAACTGTTCTCTACATTCTACAACCTAACACCTTCTACCTTCGCTAGCTAATCATGATCTCCTCGCTATCTACCTTCTCGGCCGTCTCTGACCGCTACCTAACAACTCCTGGCCTATCGCTCTACTGCCCCACGCCTCAGTGGTCAGCTGACCGTCCCACGTGACCGGTCAGTCCTGTGCGCCCATTGGCCTCTCTAACCAACCAACTAGGCCTATAGTCTGTTTCTGCTAAACTATATCTGCTCAACATGTCTGACGTACTCTTGCGTCATCACACTATCGATTTTATCTTTTCACTTTTTTTGGGTAAACGAAGACAACTCGTAAAAAGACAACTCGTAAAAAGACAACTCGTAAAAAGACAACTCGTAAAAAACACGTTGTTTGAATACGTTACTGACTAGAACACATAGATTTGAACCCGTGTCGAGTGGGATAGCAATCGTGTGCCCAACCACTCGACCATATCGTCTCCCCCAAACTGGCCTACCTCCTGTAAGTTTAAACTCGGTTCAAGCTAAATTCTCTGCCCCTAAGCCTGTGGCGACATGTGATCGTTCGCTTCACTGCGCGCGAGGTACGCGTCGCTGGTTTTTTTTCTAATGGCTAGCAGAGGAGAATTATATATATAGATTATATAGCGGTCTAAAATGCTCAATAAAATGTTTCCATTGATCAATTTAGTAATAATAACAATTGAATATTCAATGGTCATCCAAAAGAAAGCTTCCCTGAAAATTTCAGCGCGCTAGCTAACTGGGAAGTGCCAGAAATTTCGATCGCAAGATTTGATTGGAAAGACAAACAAACAAACAAAGACACAGAGAAAGCAAGTTAAAGAAAACGTGGGAAAAAAAGAAAGCCCTGGCTTCTAAAACCTTTCCCCCAGGTGTGCACATGATTACATTAGAACATTATATAACTCAGTGCTACATAAACTTTGCCATAAATAATGTTACATTATTTTTCAATTAATAAAAAACTATATAAAGTATTAATCTTATTGTGCTATAACTGGAATGGAGTGCATGGATTTATATTTAAGTGAATCCATGTTTTTTTAGATTTTCTATCACATCAATTTATTTCTCTTTTAAAAAAAACTTGTGTAAAAACCTGGCTAGCTGAGCTGACACTATGGCAACATGTTTAAAGTACAGAATTATTGAGATCAACAACCAGCTGACTCTCAAGTTATAGGCTATAGGTCTATTACATTTTTACTTTCTAACGTATCAAGTATAGAGCAAGTATTGTAATTGTGCTATAGGTCTATTACATTTTTACTTTCTAACGTATCAAGTATAGAGCAAGTATTGTAATTGTGCTATAGGTCTATTACATTTTTACTTTCTAACGTATCAAGTATAGAGCAAGTATTGTAATTGTGCAAAAACTCTCAAAGTTACACACCTCCCAGAGTTGGAAAGACTTAGCTTTGCATTTTTGTCTGTATGTCTATGTGTGTGTCTGTGCGTTACAGCTAGGTTGACAAAATTTCATATATAATTATTATATCAAATTTGTAGTTCTGTATTAACTTTTCAACAATTTCCGGAAGTGGAACTTATTCTACTTTTGGTTATTCAAAGGCCTATTACTTGAGTACTGTTTCTAATTGATAGCCAAAATTTCACATTTGATAATTCTCATATCTAATTCTCTGTTTTCTGTCAAATTTAGAGTAATTTCCGGTGCCTGGAAGTAGTACTTAACGCTAATTCAGATGAATTTATGTTTAACTTTATTCCTCTGTGTGTTGTCTGTCACGGGTCGGAGTGTACACAATTTTGAACACTTCTACCAGACCAAGTTGCTTTAAACTTTTCACGTAGGTCAAGACTCCAAGACAATGTATTGTGACATAAAATATTACTTAATTAAATGACTAATTAACTCTTTAAAAATTAATTCATTTTTTCTTTATACACACATTTTGTGCGCAATTCTTTTTTCTACAAGATTCTATTTTTCCACGTTTTCTTTAACTTGCTTTCTCTGTGTCTGTGTTTCTGTGTTTGTTTGTCTTTCCAATCAAATCTTGCGATCGAAATTTCTGGCACTTCCCAGTTAGCTAGCGCGCTGAAATTTTCAGGGAAGCTTTCTTTTGGATGACCATTGAATATTCAATTGTTATTATTACTAAATTGATCAATGGAAACATTTTATTGAGCATTTTAGACCGCTATATAATCTATATATATAATTCTCCTCTGCGAGCCATTACAAAAAAAAAACGAGCGACGCGTACCTCGCGCGCAGTGAAACGAACGATCCCACATCGCCACAGGCTTAGGGGCAGATAATTTAGTTTGAACCGAGTTTAAACTTACAGGAGGTAGGCCAGTTTGGGGGAGACGATATGGTCGAGTGGTTGGGCACACGATTGCTATCCCACTCGACACGGGTTCAAATCTATGTGTTAACACAACGTGTTTTTTACGAGTTGTCTTTTTACGAGTTGTCTTTTTACGAGTTGTCTTTTTACGAGTTGTCTTCGTTTACCCAAAAAAAGTGAAAAGATAAAATCGATAGCAAGATTTTAATGCAAACAAACAAAGACTAAAAAGTAGAAAATAATAATCATTAAAAAAGTTTTAAAAAACCCACGTTTTCTGATTGAACTAAAAAGTAGAAAATAAACGTTATACATCACAATAATGCAAGCGATCACTCTACTATAAGCGATCAAAAACGTGGGGCGCAGTGATTTTCTTACAGTTTCTAATACTGTTGACTCTCTACAAGCTCCCTAATAAAAGTCAATAGTATTATCTAATCAATAGTAATATAACTTTTACTTCGGCGACCCACGTTTTTGATCGCTTATAGTAGAGTGATCGCTTGCATTATTGTGATGTATAGCATTTATTTTCTACTTTTTAGTTCAATCAGAAAATGTGGGTTTTTTTAAACTTTTTTAATGATTATTTTTAAAAATTTAAGTATTTAAAACTGTATTAAAAAATCATGTCCCGAGTTGTCATTCCTTGTAATGTTGTTTAAGAATGTTTGAGAAAGTTTAGGGGGATATCACTCCTGTTTTATTTAATTAGTGTATAAAAATCGTAATGGTAGGCAAGACAGAAGTTTTGGTCAATATTTCTGTGTATCACCTGCATGTTGCACGGTGAGCAATGAACCTTTAGTTTGACTTGCTTTAGAGGTTTGTACAGCTTTTAGAAAGTGAAATTCCAGACATCATCTAAATATAATGGAAAAATTCCAGACTTAACAGTGATATATTTTAGCGACAATTAAGAAACCAAAGAAAAAATGCACCCCATTTTGATTACAATATTTATTTTGGGCAAGTGAACTACTGGATATTGTCATTCTTATCCAGACTGTTGTCAGAAATTAACACTTTTCCGACTAAATCTTTTAAAATAATGCCAGAACATTCAATGAAATGACTACATTCACACGAGAACAGTGTCATACTATTCAAACTTTCATTTTACCTGCAGATAATTATTTACACAACCACAATTATATTTTATAGACTTTCTATCACATATGATTTATGTACAATTAGGCATATTTTTAACCCCCCCCCCCCCCCCCCCTAACAAACATATGTCAACTGCGAGCAAGATCAGACCTTACTTTCCCCTTTATAGTACAGCCTGTATCAGTTTATAGAGCCAGTACAGCCTATATCAGTTTATAGACATAGTTGCTACTGAAACAAAAAAACTACGGACAATTTTCTGTGGGTTTTTAAAACAATTTCAGACTTTTTTTAAAAAATAGTGCAAATTATATTCCTGACATGTTTAATCCTGAAATTCACTTTTTAAAACTGTACACAATTTTTTCTACTATGGCAATAAATAATTTTCTCACTTGGTTAAAGGGTTGAGCATAGTGTAAGCAGTCGTGTCCAGAGAATGTGTTAACCAATGACATCCAAACAGTTACTGTAAGCTTTCATCTTGTCTGTGATCCAGGTGCTGTAGACGCTGACATCTGTGTAGATACCTGGCCACTTGTACTCAGCACAGCTGTAGCCCCAGCTGGATATACCTGCAACAGGCAAACACTTCAATCACTCATATCATCTGACATCACACACTTCAATCACTCGTATCATCTGACATCACACACTTCAATCACTTGTATCATCTGACATCACACACTTCAATCACTCATATCATCTGACATCACACACTTCAATCACTTGAATTATCTGACATCACACTTCAATCACTCATATCATCTGACATCACACACTTCAATCACTCATATCATCTGACATCACACACTTCAATCACTCGTATCATCTGACATCACACACTTCAATCACTCGTATCATCTGACATCACACACTTCAATCACTCATATCATCTGACATCACACACTTCAATCACTCATATCATCTGACATCACACACTTCAATCATTCATATCATCTGACATCACACTTCAATCACTCGTATCATCTGACATCACACACTTCAATCACTCGTATCATCTGACATCACACACTTCAATCACTCATATCATCTGACATCACACACTTCAATCATTCATATCATCTGACATCACACTTGAATCACTCGTATCATCTGACATCACACACTTCAATCACTCGTATCATCTGACATCACACACTTCAATCACTCGTATCATCTGACATCACACACTTCAATCACTCGTATCATCTGACATCACACACTTCAATCACTCGTATCATCTGACATCACACACTTCAATCACTCATATCATCTGACATCACACTTCAATCACTCATATCATCTGACATCACACACTTCAATCACTTGTATCATCTGACATCACACACTTCAATCACTCGTATCATCTGACATCACACACTTCAATCACTCGTATCATCTGACATCACACACTTCAATCACTCGTATCATCTGACATCACACACTTCAATCACTCGTATCATCTGACATCACACACTTCAATCGCTCGTATCATCTGACATCACACACTTCAATCGCTCGTATCATCTGACATCACACACTTCAATCACTCGTATCATCTGACATCACACACTTCAATCACTCATATCATCTGACATCATACACTTCAATCACTCGTATCATCTGACATCACACACTTCAATCACTCGTATCATCTGACATCACACACTTCAATCACTCATATCATCTGACATCACACACTTCAATCACTCATATCATCTGACATCACACAATTCAATCACTTGTATCATCTGACATCACACACTTCAATCACTCATATCATCTGACATCACACTTCAATCACTCATATCATCTGACATCACACACTTCAATCACTCGTATCATCTGACATCACACACTTCAATCACTCATCTGAAATCACACACTTCAATCACTCATCTGACATCACACACTTCAATCACTCATATCATCTGACATCACACACTTCAATCACTCATATCATCTGACATCACACACTTCAATCACTCATATAATCTGACATCACACACTTCAATCACTCGTATTATCTCACATCACATGCAAGCATGTGAAGGATTGGATTGAATGTGCAAGCATGTGAAGGATTGGATTGAATGTGCAAGCATGTGAAGGATTGGATTGAATGTGCAAGCATGTGAAGGATTGGATTGAATGTGCAAGCATGTGAAGGATTGGATTGAATGTGCAAGCATGTGAAGGATTGGATTGAATGTGCAAGCATGTGAAGGATTGGATTGAATGTGCAAGCTGTAGGTGTCTGACTAAACTGTGGAGATGACTGTGTTGACTGACCTTGGCTGAACCAGCGACCATTACGTCTACATATCAATGAGCCACCACTGTCACCCTGGCAACAGAAAATATTAAACATCATCATGTGTTGCTTCTAATTAGTTTTGGTACAAGTTTCCAAATAAAAAAGTTATTGAAGAACTTAAAGAAACAAAAAAACTCAATGACAAAAATCTTTTCAAAAAAACTAAAAGATTTTCACACATTTTTCTAGTTTTTGCCAACTATCTGCATGCTATTGTGTCCAAATAAAATTTCTCAAGATACTTTTTCTAAAAAAAAAAGGCGCTTAAAATAACAAGGTCATCTAAAGTCATGCCTAGTCATTAAACAAACTAGTGCAGGTCATGAGAAAACCACCTACTGTACATCCATCTTTTCCACCCTCCTCATAGCCTGCACAAAAAGTTGACCCTGGAATGAAGTCTCGTCCATACCAGTCTGACAAGGCACATATGTCATCTGAGATGATGGGCAAGAGGACCTGGTTGAGAACCATCTGGTCAGCTGTCCCTGTTGTACAGACAGGACTTTAACATGCTCAGTCATACAATCATCCCGAAATTAATGTTACACCCTGCCACCTACCCTGGGTACTGCCCCACCCTGCCACCTACCCTGGGTACTGCCCCACCTTGCCCCTTACCCTGGGTACTGCCCCACCCTGCCCCTTACCCTGGGTACTGCCCCACCCTGCCCCTTACCCTGGGTACTGCCCCACCCTGCCACCTACCCTGGGTACTGCCCCACCCTGCCACCTACCCTGCCCCTTACCTTGGGTACTGCCTCACCCTGCCCCTTACCTTGGGTACTGCCCCACCCTGCCACCTACCCTGCCCCTTACCTTGGGTACTGCCTCACCCTGCCCCTTACCTTGGGTACTGCCCCACCCTGCCACCTACCCTGCCCCTTACCTTGGGTACTGCCTCACCCTGCCACCTACCTTGGGTACTGCCCCACCCTGCCCCTTACCTTGGGTACTGCCTCACCCTGCCCCTTACCTTGGGTACTGCCCCACCCTGCCCCTTACCCTGGGTACTGCCCCACCCTGCCACCTACCCTGGGTACTGCCCCACCCTGCCCCTTACCCTGGGTACTGCCCCACCCTGCCACCTACCCTGCCCCTTACCTTGGGTACTGCCTCACCCTGCCACCTACCCTGGGTACTGCCTCACCCTGCCCCTTACCCTGGGTACTGCCCCACCCTGCCACCTAACCTGGGTACTGCCTCACCCTGCCCCTTACCCTGGGTACTGCCCCACCCTGCCCCTTACCTTGGGTACTGCCTCATCCTGCCTCTTACCTTGGGTACTGCCCCACCCTGCCACCTACCCTGCCCCTTACCCTGGGTACTGCCTCACCCTGCCCCTTACCCTGGGTACTGCCCCACCCTGCCACCTAACCTGGGTACTGCCTCACCCTGCCCCTTACCCTGGGTACTGCCCCACCCTGCCACCTACCCTGGGTACTGCCTCACCCTGCCCCTTACCTTGGGTACTGCCCCACCCTGCCACCTACCCTGCCCCTTACCTTGGGTACTGCCTCACCCTGCCCCTTACCTTGGGTACTGCCTCACCCTGCCCCTTACCTTGGGTACTGCCCCACCCTGCCACCTACCCTGCCCCTTACCTTGGGTACTGCCTCACCCTGCCCCTTACCTTGGGTACTGCCTCACCCTGCCCCTTACCTTGGGTACTGCCCCACCCTGCCACCTACCCTGCCCCTTACCTTGGGTACTGCCCCTTACCTTGGGTACTTCCTCACCCTGCCCCTTACCTTGGGTACTGCCCCACCCTGCCCCTTACCCTGGGTACTGCCCCACCCTGCCACCTACCCTGCCCCTTACCTTGGGTACTGCCTCACCCTGCCCCTTACCTTGGGTACTGCCTCACCCTGCCCCTTACCTTGGGTACTGCCTCACCCTGCCCCTTACCTTGGGTACTGCCCCACCCTGCCACCTACCCTGCCCCTTACCTTGGGTACTGCCCCACCCTGCCACCTACCCTGCCCCTTACCTTGGGTACTGCCTCACCCTGCCCCTTACCTTGGGTACTGCCCCACCCTGCCCCTTACCTTGGGTACTGCCCCACCCTGCCCCTTACCTTGGGTACTGCCCCACCCTCCCCTTACCTTGGGTACTGCCCCACCCTGCCCCTTACCTTGGGTACTGCCCCACCCTGCCACCTACCCTGGGTACTGCCCCACCCTGCCCCTTACCTTGGGTACTGCCCCACCCTGCCACCTACCCTGCCCCTTACCTTGGGTACTGCCCCACCCTGCCACCTACCCTGCCCCTTACCTTGGGTACTGCCCCACCCTGCCACCTACGCTGGGTACTGCCCCACCCTGCCCCTTACCCTGGGTACTGCCCCACCTTGCCCCTTACCTTGGGTACTGCCCACCCTGCCACCTACCCTGCCCCTTACCCTGGGTACTGCCCCACCCTGCCCCTTACCCTGGGTACTGCCCCACCCTGCCCCTTACCCTGGGTACTGCCCCACCCTGCCACCTACCCTGGGTACTGCCCCACCCTGCCCCTTACCCTGGGTACTGCCCCACCCTGCCACCTACCCTGCCCCTTACCTTGGGTACTGCCTCACCCTGCCCCTTACCTTGGGTACTGCCCCACCCTGCCACCTACCCTGCCCCTTACCTTGGGTACTGCCCCACCCTGCCCCTTACCTTGGGTACTGCCCCACCCTGCCCCTTACCCTGGGTACTGCCCCACCCTGCCCCTTACCCTGGATACTGCCCCACCCTGCCACCTACCCTGGGTACTGCCCCACCCTGCCCCTTACCCTGGGTACTGCCCCACCCTGCCACCTACCCTGCCCCTTACCTTGGGTACTGCCCCACCCTGCCACCTACCCTGGGTACTGCCCCACCCTCCCCTTACCTTGTGTACTGCCCCACCCTGCCCCTTACCTTGTGTACTGCCCCACCCTGCCACCTACCCTGGGTACTGCCTCACCCTGCCCCTTACCTTGGGTACTGCCCCACCCTGCCCCTTACCTTGGGTACTGCCTCACCCTGCCCCTTACCTTGGGTACTGCCCCACCCTGCCACCTACCCTGCCCCTTACCTTGGGTACTGCCCCACCCTGCCCCTTACCTTGGGTACTGCCTCACCCTGCCCCTTACCTTGGGTACTGCCCCACCCTGCCACCTACCCTGCCCCTTACCTTGGGTACTGCCCCACCCTGCCATAACACAAACTTCCCCTTCTGTCACACCCTGGTCCGCTGTAGGCAGACAGACAGGCCTGATGACGTCAGAGAAGACCAATGGCTCCTCCAATAGCAGCAGAGCAATGTCATTGGCCACTGACACATTGTCAAAGTTGTCATGAAGGATTATCTGGGAAACCTGAGAATACAAGCAGTAGAGTTGTCATGAAGGATTATCTGGGAAACCTGAGAATACAAGCAGTAGAGTTGTCATGAAGGATTATCTGGGAAACCTGAGAATACAAGCAGTAGAGTTGTCATGAAGGATTATCTGGGAAACCTGAGAATACAAGCAGTAGAGTTGTCATGAAGGATTATCTGGGAAACCTGAGAATACAAGCAGTAGAGTTGTCATGAAGGATTATCTGGGAAACCTGAGAATACAAGCAGTAGAGTTGTCAGTGACGTCAGTGGCAATGTATCATAATGTATGTGATGACCAATGTATCATAATGTATGTGATGACCAATGTATCATAATCTATGTGATGACAGTAGTGTTGGTGACATCAGATACATTGAGAGGCAAAAATTGTACTTTGTTGTGAATTATTACGGAATGTAGGCGTATGATACAAGTTGATGAAAACTTGCCTTGACCACTTGCTGACCAGGATCCACTCTGTTCAGGTAATGTTTGCCAGCCAGGACTTGCCACCTTTTTGGATCATTGCTTGCTCCACTTCAAAGAGATAAAAAGTGCAAAATTGCGTTTTGCTAGCAAAATATTGGTAATCTATCGTTTTAGGTATGTAAAATCGGCAGAGGCTAGTAACGTGCAGGATAGGGTGGCTCATTAATATGACTTTAATACAAGTATATTATGATCTTTTTGTATCAAATATAATAGATAACTAGCCGCCCCCTGTGAAAAAACTATTCGTAAAAGACCATGACTCGTGTGTTTATTAAGCAGCATATTCCAGGTATTGCCCCAGTTTAGGAAATATATTACTTTTCCAATTAACCCTAACCAAAACCAAAATACAAACGCAAAATAACGCAGAACATTAACACAATATATATATATATATATATATATATATATATATATATATATATATATATATATATATATAATATTATATCAATGGCTAAATAAATATATCAATATATGCCAGAAATCAACTTCTGAACTACAGTATTTGCGAACAAGATTTGCTATATAAACAGCAGCCATATGTAAAATATAGTGGCTTCCCCTGAAGCTCCCACTATAATTTAACCTAAAAAAATTTAAGATGGCTGCTAAAGTAAATGAGCTTGGTTGCATCTGAAGAAAACATAGCTAGTCTTTATTTATGGATGATTATAGATACCATTGTCCAATAATAAAATCTTTAAAAAATGGGTGTTGGGTTGTTGGTAGTATTGTAATCTCGACTAATTTTATGGTTAGAAATTAGGGTTAGGACCAGGGTTGGGGTTAGGGACAGGGTTAGCATTGACATTAGCCAGCCATGTGTGTATTTAGTTAACTAACAGTAACCTTACAACCCTTTTTAAAGGAGATTCCATTATCGGGCACCGGTGTAAACATTCTCCCTTATTTATTACTGAAAAGTTTTAACACAATTGTTTAAAAACAGGTACATAAGTCATCATAAATGAAACTGAAATAATTTTGTAAATTTTAAAACAAATCCTCCTAAAATATGTGAAATAATTACTAAAATTTGATGAGTCACCCTTTTTCACATTACTAGCCTCGGCCGTTTTTACGTACCTAAAACAATAGATTAAAAAAAAAATTTTTGGTAAAACTCCATTTTAGTGTATTTTATTCTCCGCTTCTTGTTTACCTCCACTTGAGCGTATTTTATTTATTACACTAACCGAAACACACCAAAACATTAGGAAAACACGATTTATTTATATGTATTGTATTTTTTTTTAACAAATGAATAAAAATTATAAAAAAAACAAAGAGACTGACTTTGTTTTAGATTTTGATAATTTACTTTTGTCAAAACTTGAGAAAAATCCAAATTTGCAATATTGAATGTGCTATGAGTATGTTCGTGTGTCAGTTAGAATTTTCATGGCAAGGGGTGAAGTATGTAAACGTAACTCACAATTGCAAGGCGGTTAAGTTTGTATTGTTACAAGTATCTCCCAGGCATGATACTATAAAATAAATACACATTTATGAACTTACAATGACCCCAAAACTGAGGCAAACACAATTTCATAGTATTGCTCACTACCCCAGAGGCATGGCTGGTTGCTAACAACAATATGGCGTATGGACTGGATGCATGACTTCCGACGGTTTTTCGTCTTAGTTCCAGAGACCTTCTTAGAATTACTTTTAAAAATGTTTACCACGAACAAAATGGCGGGTTTTCACATTATAAAAACATGCTATAGTTGGCAGGGCTAAATATGCCAAAAAAGTATTTTAAAATTTGCTTTGGAGAATGAAGGTTAAATTTAAAAGTCGGTGTCATTAAAATTAATAGACTTTTCAAATATCAGCCTGGAGGTCACAAAAATGAATTGGAGGTTGTAGAACTATTAGGGTTATCATTGTATGAAAAAATAAAGCAAATATTGCTGGCACTTTTTAAAATAAGACACGACTTTTGAATGACATTTTTTTTTTAAACCACGTGACCGCTATTTGATGATCACTAGTGAGGAACTGGGTACATGGCCACTTGAAAAGTTTAACTGCATTTGTGGTTTTAAATTAGGTAATTTAGTTTAAAACGAACTAAAAACTTTAAAATAAAATTAGTGCCTAATGGATTAAATATGGTAATGTGTAATGGATGTCTATCATAAATCATAATCATACAAATGTAAGCCCTGCTAGGGGGGGATACCTTAAATCTACCTAACCCTTCCCTAGGCTTATCTAACTAACTACTGTCCGGTCAGTGCAAGCCCGGCTAAACCCAGACTGGTTAATAACCTAACCTTAGTCTAAATTAAAAACAAAAAAACTTTAACAATAATATAAAATTTATTTCACAAAATAATAAATATGGAACCAAAGTTATTATAAAAAAAACTAGAATCTAGATCTAGACAAAATAAAACACTCAAGACATACAAAACAAACAGAACGTCACACAAATACAGTAGTCATGTTTAATTTGAAATTTGGGTAAATTCTAGATCTAGATCTAATTCTAGAAGCTACAGTGAATTTAAAACAGCTATTGCCCGAGCTATGACGTATGTAATGTATGTAGTATGTAGATCTAGTAGTATAAGTAAAAATAAGTATGTAAAGTCAATGGTGAACCCGCGACCATGAAAGGATTTTTCTCCCCCTGATCTCAGATTGTAGATCTAGTGTTTTCTTAACGTTTTTGTGTTTCGGTTGTGTTTATAATAAAATACGCTCAACTGGAGGTGAACGTGAAACGGGGAATAAAATACGCTAAAATGTAGTTTTACCAAACAAAAATTTCTTAAGTAGTCAGCAATTTTCTCGCAAAAGTCTGACTTACCTAAAACAATGAGTGGCTGTTAAAATATAATATTCACTTATGATGGCGCCACCGCACGCAGAGAAACCCAACTCTGCCAGAAGTACCTTGGGTCGGTAGAGCCAAAATTATAAAAGTAGCCAGATTGGATAATAAATCATAAAATATGATTACATTTTTAAAAATATAAGAATGCGTAATATATGTAGTGTTATAATGAGCAGAATATGTATTTTAATAAAATTAGGCATACTAATATGAAACTACTTTTTTTTAAATTGATATTTTATGAAAGATACTTAGTCACTGCTACGGAGTATTGCTAATTTAAGATGTCATTATTTTTAAGGTCTGACTTTCATGACTGTGTAAGGAAAAAAGTGTGACATCGTTAATGGTCTAACCCCAAGAGGGCTTCTTGTGAAGAGTCGCCATCTACAAATCAACTAAGTATAGGAACAAAATGGTGTCAGAAGGGTTAGAACAAGATTCGATTAACATGACAAGATTTGGCCATAAATTCTTAAATGTGACAGAATCGGATCGTTTCTGGAATTCGTATGCTGCGTTACTTCCGTCAAATCTCCGAAAGCTGAAGATATTTTTACGGCGACATTTTAATCTGCGATTACAAAAATGTCCAGCGGAGTCCACCATCTACAGGTCAATTCAATAGTCAATAAATTCTAAGGCACAGATTTTAAGAGATCAAACATTTGGGGTTATTTATAGTCAAGGTCTAATAAAAACAACAACGCCAGCCTGATTGATTACATCTGACTCTACTGAAGACAGAACCTTTCGACGCACATAGAAACTCCTCTCAACTGACCGACGCAGTTTTATTAAAAAGTAAATTAGTCAGTAAATGTTTTATTAGAAAGTAAATTAGTCAATAAATGTTTTATTAGAAAGTAAATTAGTCAATAAATGTTTTATTAGAAAGTAAATTAGTCAATAAATGTTTTATTCGAAAGTAAATTAGTCAATAAATGTTTTATTAGAAAGTAAATTAGTCAATAAATGTTTTATTAGAAAGTAAATTAGTCAATAAATGTTTTATTAGAAAGTAAATTAGTCAACTATTTCATCAATAAATTAATCAATAAATGGCCTCATATAGGGCCTACATACATACTATAGGCCTACATACACACACATACTATACATACTTACTATACATTATACGCATATAGGCTATACACACAAACATACTTATACACACAGTAGGTCTACATACATTATTGGGGTAAGTATGTTTATCATCTTGTTTTATTGCCTTAGATGGGGTACTGTATGGAGTGCAAAATGGGGTACTGTGTGGAGTACTGTATGTGGTGTTGTGTAGGGTACTGTATGTGGTGTTGTGTGGGGTACTGTGTGGGGTACTGTATGTGGTGTTGTGTGGGGTACTGTATGTGGTGTTGTGTGGGGTACTGTGTGGGGTACTGTATGTGGTGTTGTGTGAGGTAATGTGTGGGGTACTGTATGTGGTACTGTGTGTGGTACTGTATGTGGTACTGTGTGGGGTAATGTATGTGGTACTGTGTGTGGTACTGTATGTGGTACTGTGTGGGGTACTGTGTGGGGTACTGTATGTGGTGTTGTGTGGGGTACTGTATGTGGTGTTGTGTGGGGTACTGTGTGGGGTACTGTATGTGGTGTTGTGTGGGGTACTGTATGTGGTGTTGTGTGGGGTACTGTGTGGGGTACTGTATGTGGTGTTGTGTGGGGTACTGTGTGGGGTACTGTGTGGGGTACTGTATGTGGTACTGTGTGTGGTACTGTATGTGGTACTGTGTGGGGTACTGTATGTGGTGTTGTGTGGGGTACTGTATGTGGTACTGTGTGTGGTACTGTATGTGGTACTGTGTGGGGTAATGTATGTGGTGCTGTGTGGGGTACTGTATGTGGTGTTGTGTGGGGTAATGTGTGGGGTACTGTATGTGGTGTTGTGTGGGGTAATGTGTGGGGTACTGTATGTGGTACTGTATGTGGTGTTGTGTGGGGTTATGTATGTGGTGTTATATGTGGTGCTGTGTGTACTGTATTGGGTGCAACATGGGGTACGGCAGCCAGCTATTACTTACTATCCATGGCCAGGCCCCTACCGGCGCCTCCCCGCCCCCAATGATGCGGTGACTGACTGGCTCCACAAGGGAGAGGCCACAGCTGGTCTGGGAGTTGGTGCAGGGGAGGTGGAGGGGGGACGGCTGGACGCCTGGAGAGCAAACAAAGGTCAACGGGAGGTCAATTGACCCACCTGTGAAGAATATGACGTCACCATACCCAAATTAAATAACTTGAACTAAGCAACTCTTAAATACAACGAAGTCAACTTACTCACCTGTAAAGGTAAAGTCAACTGACCTACCTGTAAAGATAAAGTCAACTGACCCACCTGTAAAGATAAAGTCAACTGACCCACCTGTAAAGATGAAGTCAACTTACCCATCTGTAAAGATAAAGTCAACTGACCCACCTGTATAGATGAAGTCAACTGACCCACCTGTAAAGATAAAGTCAACTGACCCACCTGTAAAGGTAAAGTCAACTGACCCACCTGTAAAGGTAAAGTCAACTGACCTACCTGTAAAGATAAAGTCAACTGACCCACCTGTAAAGATAAAGTCAACTGACCCACCTGTAAAGATGAAGTCAACTTACCCACCTGTAAAGATAAAGTCAACTGACCCACCTGTAAAGATGAAGTCAACTGACCCACCTGTAAAGATAAAGTCAACTGACCCACCTGTAAAGGTAAAGTCAACTGACCCACCTGTAAAGATGAAGTCAACTTACCCACCTGTAAAGATAAAGTCAACTGACCCACCTGTAAAGATGAAGTCAACTGACCCACCTGTAAAGATGAAGTCAACTGACCCACCTGTAAAGATGAAGTCAACTGACCCACCTGTAAAGATGAAGTCAACTGACCCACCTGTAAAGATAAAGTCAACTTACCCACCTGTAAAGATGAAGTCAACTGACTCACCTGTAAAGAGCAGCAACGTAAGAAGACTAGAGGACTGACACAACTTGGTCATGACCGCGTGTTATGTTTACACACGTGTTGTTATGTTTCGCTACACACGTGTTGTTATGCTTCCCTACACACACCTAGATCGGTGTCTCGACAGGTCCAAGTGTGGGCCTGATTTCTTTCTCGGGTGACAGATTTATGGCAGCACTAGAGAAACGGTGGATTCAACAAACACAGATCATGGCCCAGTGTTTTCTTGTGTTGTTAGCCCAGTGTTTTCTTGTGCTGTTAGCCCAGTGTTTTCTTGTGTTGTTAGCCCAATTTTTCCAGTGCTGTTAGCCCGCTGTTTTCTTGTGCTGTTAGCCCAGTGTTTTCTTGTGCTGTTAGCCCGGTGTTTTCTTGTGTTGTTAGCCCAGTGTTTCCTTAATCAGCTGACCTGCTCATCTATAACTAAACCGCGAAACAGAGGCCTGACAGTATTTAAAGAAATATCAGAACAACATTTTTCTGATTTATTTATTGTTGGTTGATTTGCGTAACGTATTTTTACATGAAGGAACCTATAATGTATCTACCATACAAATCGCTAGGTGAGTATTTTTCAACTTAAAAATGTGCAGAAGTGTAACATTTCAACCATGGACACAAATGTAACATTTCAACCATGGACACAAATGTAACATTTTAACATGGACACAAATGTAACATTTCAACATGGACACAAATGTAACATTTCAACCATGGACACAAATGTAACACATTCAATAAAAGATTTTCCAATGGTTGGTGTCATGAATGCACTAAATGCAAACATCGTAAACTTGATATAAACCTAAACGGCCCAATCATATGTTAAAAATTAAACGTAGAATTAATTTAAAAACAAATGTTCACATTTATAAAATAATTCTGATTCCTTAAGACACAATAGAAGCTGAACACATGTGGAAAGTAAGAGGTGTGTGGGCGTGTAGGCCTACCCACAACTGTCAACATATGTGGCCACGATCTGTGTGTCTTGTGACGTCACCCATCACCGGACAAACGCTCCATGACGCAATCAGCTGTTCCATTTTTCTAAATTAGAGTTTTATAAATAACTTTTATGACATTGTCATATTATGTGATGTCATGCCATGTCGTGTCATGTCATGTTATGTTATGCCGTGTCATGTCATGTCATGTGATGTCGTTTCATGTTATGTCGTGTCATGTCATCAGAGGCGTAGCGACCCTTCCCGGCGCCCGGGGACAAACTTTTCGATTTGCACCCCCCCCCCTCAAGATTTCGATTTGCACCCCCCCCCCTCAAACTTTTGATTTGCAACCCCCCTCGAGATTTCGATTTGCACCCCCCCCCTCAAACTTTCGATTTGCACACCCCCCCCCCCTAGAGATTTCGATTTGCACCCCCCCCCCCTCAAAACTTTCGATTTTCACCCCCCTCAACCTTTCAATTTATTTTTCCAACCCATTTTGGCGCCCCCTAAGGTCAGCGCCCGGGGACATGTCCCCCCGCCCCCCCCCCCTCGCTACGCTACTGCATGTCATGTGATGTTGTTGCTGAGTTACCGGACAGCTGCAGACGTAGGTTGTCCATGTGTCGATGTGGAAGTGGTGACTCCTCCCTACTGGGATCGGATCCAGCTGGCGCCTGTACCAGTCCATCAGCTCGTGACCAGGCGTGGCAGGAAACGGGTCTGGGATGACGTCACAATAGCCTGGACAAGAGAACTTACAGGCATTTTATATCACTTAACCCATAGTCCATAAATGACGTCACGCTGTTGGATGGGGAGGGGAAGAGATGTGAAAATGGGGGGAGGGGGGAATAATTCAGGTGTTACGTCACATTGAGTATTTTTGAGAGAGGGCTTTTTCAAACTGAATTTCAGCAGTTATTTTATATAAATGTTAATAAGTTTTAAAAATTGTTATGAAAGTTTTTAAAAATGTCATTAGTGATTATTCCGGCTAAATAGACATAGACTAGCTAAATAGCAGTTTAACAATAAATAGTTTCGTAATGTATTTATTTTTTACATAAAAGGGCAACAACTCAATATTTTACGACAAAAAAACAAGAGAGCTTGGTTATGCCCCTTAATAAAAAAATATAGCAAAAAATTATTAGGGTGTAAAGGTGGTGGGGGCGCTTAACGGTTGCCTTAACCATAATACTAGCAGTGGCGTAGCGAGGGCGGGTGTCACCCGGTGCGGCACTTAATGGTGTCACCCCCCCCCCAGAGGCATAGAGACCCTTCCCAGGGACAAACTTTCAAATTTTCGATTTGCACCCCCCCTCAAACTTTCGATTTGAACCCCCCCCCCTCAAGTTTTCGATTTGCACCCCCCCCCCTCAAACTTTCGATTTGCACCCCCCCCCTCTAGTTTTTCTCTATATATTTTGCTATTTTTTGCCTTGGTGTCACCCCCCTAAATGGTGTCACCCGGTGCGGTCCGCACCCCCGCCCCCCCCCTCGCTACGCCCCTGAATACTAGACTAATTTTTCAATATAATTGTCTTTTAAATATGAATATATTCATTAGCTGAAACTTGTTAGCAAGTAATTCTATGACGTCACCTGCATTAGGGCAGTGGTAATGAGGGCAGCAGTTGGCGTCATAGGAGACCTCTCTGCCCTCACACACCAGTTCGTAGGTCCCACACCGCTGGCTCAGACAGTGCTCGCGTGACGTGCCCAGTTGACATGCGCACTGGAGGCAAGGATTGCCCTGGCCGTAAGGAAACCACGCCCCCAACGTATACTGAACACCATCGATGGTGCAGCCTAGCTCCTCACAGCAGCAGCCGTCTGTAGACCACTGGAACAAAAACCACACGATGGCCTAAAGGACCACAACCACACGACATGTAGTACCAAAACTACACAAAAATTGAATGACGTAGTACCAAAACTACACAAAAATTGAATGACGTCATTAGCTCATTGGCATTTAAACACTGGGTACCAATTAAAGCTGAATAAAATAATCCATTAAATGCAATCGTATTTGATACATTACATCAGCAAACTTTTGTTTGAGTTTTCTACCTTTAAGCACCATGGGTTGCCTACTTTTAAGCACCATGGGTTGCCTACCTTTAAGCACCATGGGTTACCTACCTTTAAGCACCATGGGTTGCCTACCTTTAAGCACCATGTGTTGCCTACCTTTAAGCACCATGGGTTGTCTACCTTTAAGCACCATGGGTTGCCTACCTTTAAGCACCATGGGTCGCCTACCTTTAAGCACCATGGGTTGCCTACCTTTAAGCACCATGGGTTGCCTACCTTTAAGCACCATGGGTCGCCTACCTTTAAGCACCATGGGTTGCCTACCTTTAAGCACCATGGGTCGCCTACTTTTAAGCACCATGGGTTGCCTACCTTTAAGCACCATGGGTTGCCTACCTTTAAGCACCATGGGTTGCCTACCTTTAAGCACCATGGGTTGCCTACCTTTAAGCACCATGGGTCGCCTACCTTTAAGCACCATGGGTTGCCTACCTTTAAGCACCATGGGTCGCCTACTTTTAAGCACCATGGGTTGCCTACCTTTAAGCACCATGGGTTGCCTACCTTTAAGCACCATGGGTTGCCTACCTTTAAGCACCATGGGTTGCCTACCTTTAAGCACCATGGGTTGCCTACCTTTAAGCACCATTTCTCCTGGCTGAAGTCGTAGCCCGTGGGACAGACTGGGCCCGTGCACCAAGCGCCCCCCAGAGAAAAGCAGGAACAGTTCCGGCACCGCTCCTGCCACCTGGTCCCCACACTGTAGGACCTGGTCATGTCCAGCATGTGATAGGACTCCAGATTCTGGACATACTGGCCCTGGGGGGGGGGGGGTGGACAGAGGAACTTATTAGTGTAAACTTACTGACATCATACACTTACTGACGTCATAAAAGGTGCTCACGTCATGGCGTCACTACACAGCCACTGACCTGTATTTGACACTTGCCAAAATCAAAGGCTCCAGTTCTGAAGGTCACGAGTCGCCTCTCCAAGGTCAGAGTTGTGCTAACCAAGAGAACACCCATCAAGGTCAAGGGCATCTGATATTTAAGAAAGTGGCGGAAACTCATGGCGTTTACCCTGGGGATATATAGACATGTCATCTCATGGCATCTGTTTTCTTTTGTGAACATCCTACATCCATCTTACATTACCTCAGCGAACATCCAACATTCTAAACATGTTCAACATCTACCTCAGCGAACATCCAACAATTAGCACATCTATATCAGTGAACATCCAACATCTACCTCAGTTAACATCCAACATCTACCTCAGCGAACATCCAACATCTACCTCAGCGAACATCCAACATCTACCTCAGCGAACATCCAACATCTACTGCGAACAACCAACATCTACCTCAGCGAACATTCAACATCTACTGCGAACATCCAACATCTACCTCAGTAAACATCCAACATCTACCTCAGCGAACATCCAACATCTACTGCGAACATCCAACATCTACCTCAGTAAACATCCAACATCTACCTCAGCGAACATCCAACATCTACTGCGAACATCCAACATCTACCTCAGCGAACATCTAATATCTACCTCAGCGAACATCCAACATCTACAGCGAACATCTAATATCTACCTCAGTGAACATCCAACGTTGTTACAATGTGTGAGCTGCCATTTCGTCTGCTGCTAATGACGTCATTAACGCGTGTCAGTAATTTGTCAGAGGTCCTCGGATTGTCAACACCACGTGACCTGACCTATGTGACACGGGACTTGAGGCAGCCAGTGTGGATCTGTTGTGCTCGTCAAATTTACAACATCGCGGTGAGCAGGTCTCGTGCCAGGTGACGTCACTGCCACATACACCAAGGATGACATGTCAACTAAAAATCTACTTGGCATGACAGGCGTTTCTCATGCAAGCATTCACTGCCAGCGTCCTTGTCGTTCAAGTTTTAAGATATGCATACATACATATACATACATATACACATCAACATACACATCAACATACACATCAACATACATATACACATCAACATACACATCAACATACACATCAACATACACATCAACATACACATACATATACACATCAACATACACATAAACATAAACATACACATCAACATACACATCAACATACACATCAACATACACATACATATACACATCAACATACACATCAACATACACATCACCATACACATCAACATACACATACATATACACATCAACATACACATCAACATACCCATCAACATACACATCAACATACACATACATATACACATCAACATACACATAAACATAAACATACACATCAACATACACATAAACATAAACATACACATCAACATACACATCAACATACACATCAACATACACATACATATACACATCAACATACACATCAACATACACATCAACATACACATCAACATACACATACATATACACATCAACATACACATAAACATAAACATACACATCAACATACACATCAACATACACATCAACATACACATACACATACACATCAACATACACATCAACATCAACATACGCAATCATATACACATCAACATACACGCGCCCACATACGCATATCTACACAAACTGTGTGGGGACCGCGGCCATCGTGTGAGGGCTAGCTCAATTACCGGCACGAGTCGTGAAATAATTGGCCATTATATGACGTCACCTCTGGGACAAACTTTGTGTAAACAAGGAATTGAGTTTTTAGCGTTTCCAACATGAGCAGTTCTAGCTTGGTGTTAGCTCAAAGTTTGGTGTTAGCTGAGAGTATGGTGTTTGTTTGGTGTTAGAGTTAGGTGTTAGAGTTAGGTGTTAGCTGAGAGTTTGGTGTTAGAGTTTGGTGTTAGCTGAGAGTATGGTGTTAGAGTATGGTGTTAGCTGAGAGTATGGTGTTAGAGTATGGTGTTAGTGTTAGACAGACAGACATACATTGCTTTATATATATATATATATATATATATATATATATATATATATATATATATATATATATATATATATATATATATATATATATATATATATATATATATATATATACGAGCGTATCTGAGGGTTTCATCATTGCTTTACTAATCCTATATTTTTTGAAGTTATTAATTCTATATTTTTAGACGTTACCAATTCTATATTTTCCCCACGTTTTCTTTAACTTGCTTTCGCGTCTGTTTTTCCAATCAAATCTTGCGATCGAAATTTCGGGCACTTCCCAGTTAGCTAGCGCGCTGAAATTTTCAGGGAAGCTTTGTTTCCGATGACAATACAATATTCAATTATTATTACTACTAAATTGATCCATGGAAAATTTTTATTGATCATTTTAGACCCCTATATATTTGTACAAAAAAAGGACATAACCTAGTAATTGTAATTTGATGAAAACAAGGTTCGGTACTTTCCCTCTTGTGGCTTACTGAAGGAGCGAGCACGCGATTGGCTGAGTAATGGTCTTGCGGTGTGTGTGTACAAACCTATGCAAATCTGACTGATCAGGAAGTAGAATGTTGATGGCAACACAGAAGAAACGTCGATTGGAAAAGGCACGTGTTTTTTACGAGTTGTCTTCGTTTACCCAAAAAAAAAGTGAATGGGAGAAGATAAAATCGATAGCAAGATTTGAATGCAAACAAACAGACAAAGGCTAAAAAGTAGAAAATAATTATCATTAAAAAAGTTTTTAAAAACCCACGTTTTCTGATTGAACTAAAAAGTAGAAAATAAATGCTATACATCACAATAATGCAAGCGATCGCTCTACTATAAGCGATGAAAAACGTGGGGCGCCGTGATTTTCTTACAGTTTCTAATACTGTTGACTCTCTACAAGCTCCCTAATAAAAGTCAATAGTATTATCTAATCAATAGTAATATAACTTTTACATCTTATATAAACAATGACCGATAAAAAACTTTTACTTCGGCGCCCCACGTTTTTCATCGCTTATAGTAGAGTGATCGCTTACATTATTGTGATGTATAGCATTTATTTTCTACTTTTTAGTTCAATCAGAAAACGTGGGTTTTTAAAAACTTTTTTAATGATAATTATTAGACGTTACTAATTCTAGATTTTTAGACGTTACCAATCCTATATTTTTAGACGTTACCAATCCTATATTTTTAGACGTTACCAATCCTATATTTTTAGACGTTTCATCCTCTATTCTTAGACGTTACTAATCCTCTATTCTTAGACGTGTGATCTTGTTCTTAAAGCTGTTATTTAAATGTAACCAATGCCTGCGCTATATTTCTTTGATCATATTTGTCGGGGCACGGGTTTACCTACACCAGCACGCCCCGTGGCGGGGTGTAAGACAGGTGTATGACAGGTGTATGACAGGTGTATGACAGGTGTATGAGTGTAATCGATTGCCCAGATGTCAGGTTTAGTCATCGAATGTCGTGTGCTATTATGTCAATTTTGTATGGTGCTCCTTAAAACGAACGTAGGCGCCTTAGTGTTCATGGGTGAGCCCGGGGCGCCTAAATGCCCCCTGCCGGGGCGCAAGCGAACACGCCGGATTTAATTTAGTTAACGTCTATTACGCCCCATTATATTCGTAGTCTATCGCACTGCTTAAAACAAACGTAGGCGCTATTGCGCTCACGGGATAACCCGGGGCGCCAAATCGCACCCTGCAGAGACGCCGGAGGACGTGCTGATTCGATAAATTAATGATTATTATTGATCATCGTGTATTTGGTGTATTTGGTGTATTGCCTTTTTAAACGAACGTAAGAGCCATAGTGCTCGCTGGAGAGCTGGAGCGCTTCGGGTCTTGCAATCACCAGGGCACCGCACTGCATCTGTTGCCGCTTAATATAGTAGTACCCCATAATCCGGATGCCAGGTGCTAACATACACGCTCTGGAACTCTGGGCGTCGAATCGTATATTGACGAAAATCGCACCCTCCCGGAGCGCCGCTCTTGCGAAATAAAAAAAAAAGATTCTTTTTTTACAGAAGCCTCCAAATGAGTGTTCTAATCAACCTCCCCCCCCCCCCCCCAAGCTTAATGGCGATCGGATGAACGGTGTCATGTTGAATACTTTAGCGTCATGTTGGATACTTTAGCGTCATATTGGATACTTTAGCGTCATTTTGGATATTTTGAATACTTTAGCGTCATGTTGAATACTTGAGCGTCAATTTGGATACTTTAGCGACATGTTGGATACTTTAGCGTCATTTTGGATATTTTGAATACTTTAGCGTCATGTTGAATACTTTAGCGTCATTTTGAACACTTTAGCGTCATTTTGAATACTTTAGCGTCATGTTGGATACTTTAGCGTCATGTTGGATACTTTAGCGTCATGTTGGATACTTTAGCGTCATTTTGGATACTTTAGCGTCATGTTGGATACTTTAGCGTAATTTTGGATACTTTATCGTCATGTTGGATACTTTAGCGTCATTTTGGATACTTTATCGTCATGTTGGATACTTTAGCGTCATTTTGGATACTTTATCGTCATGTTGGATACTTTAGCGTCATTTTGGATACTTTATCGTCATGTTGGATACTTTAGCGTCATTTTGGATACTTTATCGTCATGTTGGATACTTTAGCGTGATTTTGGATACTTTATCGTCGTGTTGGATACTTTAGCGTCATTTTGGATACTTTAGCGACATGTTGGATACTTTAGCGTCATTTTGGATACTTTATCGTCGTGTTGGATACTTTAGCGTCATTTTGGATACTTTAGCGACATGTTGGATACTTTAGCGTCATTTTGGATACTTTATCGTCGTGTTGGATACTTTAGCGTCCTTTTGGATACTTTATCGTCGTGTTGGATACTTTAGCGTCATTTTGGATACTTTATCGTCATGTTGGATACTTTAGCGTCATTTTGGATACTTTATCGTCGTGTTGGATACTTTAGCGTCATTTTGGATACTTTAGCGACATGTTGGATACTTTAGCGTCATTTTGGATACTTTATCGTCGTGTTGGATACTTTAGCGTCATTTTGGATACTTTAGCGACATGTTGGATACTTTAGCGTCATTTTGGATACTTTATCGTCATGTTGGATACTTTAGCGTCATTTTGGATACTTTATCGTCATGTTGGATACTTTAGCGTCATTTTGGATACTTTATCGTCATGTTGGATACTTTAGCGTCATTTTGGATACTTTATCGTCGTGTTGGATACTTTAGCGTCATTTTGGATACTTTATCGTCATGTTGGATACTTTAGCGTCATTTTGGATACTTTATCGTCGTGTTGGATACTTTAGCGTCATTTTGGATACTTTATCGTCATGTTGGATACTTTAGCGTCATTTTGGATACTTTATCGTCATGTTGGATACTTTAGCGTCATTTTGGATACTTTATCGTCGTGTTGGATACTTAGCGTCATTTTGGATACTTTAGCGACATGTTGGATACTTTAGCGTCATTTTGGATACTTTATCGTCGTGTTGGATACTTTAGCGTCATT